CTTGTACTTTACATCTGGCATGTTACCAGTGGTGGAAGAAGTACTCATTTCTTTTACTCAAGTAAAAGTAGTAATACTACAGTGTAGAAATATTCTCTTACACGTAAAGGCCATGCACTGAAAAACTTATTTAACTAAAAGCACAAAAGTGGTAGCATCAAAAAGTGAAAGTACTTCTTTTGCAGAATGGTCCATTTTAGAATAATGTGTAATGTATCACTGTAATAATTTTATTTCTTGTAAACTGCTGGGTAGTTTAACCCAGGGGTTCCCAACTGGTGGGTGAAGGTCCAAAAGTGTGTCATGGGTCACCGCAAGTGACTCGCCAACGTGTCAAGTTTGTAAAAAGAATACACTTTATTATGAAGTACAGTGCATTTTCACCACAGAGCTTTTATTCTGAAGTGCTGTTTCCTGCTGTAGAGTGAGTGAATAATGGGACAGCTACTCAACAGAGACAGCAAACCAGCTCTGACATGGCAAAACGTAAGTATGACCCTGAATATATTAAACTGTGTGGAAATTGAACAAATGACTAAGGAGAAATCTGGACCTTGTGGCAGCATCAATTGGGAACCACTGGTTTAAAGGGATAGTGCACCCAAAAATGAAAATTCAGCCATTATCTACTCAATCATATGCCGATGGAGGCTCAGGTGAAGTTTTAGAGTCCTCACATCCTTTGCAGAGATCAAAGGGGAGAGGGGGTAGCAACACAACTCCAAACGTCCAAAAACACATAACTGACACCACAAAATATCTCCATACTGCTTGTCCGTAGTAGACGGCATATGGGTGAGTAGATAATGGCTGAATTTTCATTTTTGGGTGCACTATTCGTTTAACCTATTATAATAAATCATATTTTATTGGTTAATTTTTATTTTATATGAATATTTTTAATCTGCAAAGTAACGAAAGATGTCAAAATAAATGTAGTGAAGAAAAAAAGTAAAACATTTGCCAACCAAATGTAATGGAGTAGATGTGTAGAGTAGCATAAAATGCAAATACTCCAGTAAAGTAGAAGCATCTTAAAAATCGTACTCTGTAGTACTTGAGTTAGCCTATATTCCACCACTGCATGTCACACCAATAAGGCAAATTCTTTTTCATATTGCTTTAAGTCTGGCGTCTTAGACTGCTCTGGGGCTGCAACTAATAAAAACAGATAAAAAATAGTACAATAGTAAAAAATGCCCATCGCAGCTTCCCACAGGCCCACAGAGACATCTTTAAACATCTTGTTTTTTTTGGCTTAGAGTGCAAAAGCTAAAGATTTTCTATTTACAATTAAATAACACAGAGAAATAGCAGGAAATCACATTCAGTCACACTGAAGAAGTCTGATACAGAGTTTATGACATTTTGCCTGATAACTGATGATAACTAAATGCTCATGTGACACAATTGTAGGTGGTTAAGTTTTAGTAAAATGCCAAATCAGTTTGTTTTGCAACCTCTGTGGCAAAGACAAACCATATGTTGAAGTGGGCTCAGATGGGAGAGAGCGTATTTTCACAGCCTTAAAAGGTATGCGATGAGTCTACTGAGCAGGTAGTGAAACTTACTGTAAGTTCATATGCGGCCTTTAAACTCCCAAAACACGTTACATACTCAGCTAAGAATACTGACAATCACTTTATACCACCTAGGGAGGAGACACACTTTGCACACATTTACCGCACCATGCATCCTTTATTAACATCTTGTTTGCATTTTGAAAATATTTCAAACGCCACAAGAATCCGCCTTTTTTTGCAGCAGCAGCAGCACATTAAGTTTACACCCTGTGATTTCACATTCCTTATCAGGCCTGTTGCTGGCTGAGACTCCTAATGAGAAATACACTGTGGTGTGACACACTGTGTATAATAATGCATGCTCAGCAGGATCTATGTCTGACTAATACTCCCAAGAATGGAAAAGCAACGGGCTGCTTTCACTTTACTCACATCTAACAGTTGAGCTGTGGGCTCATATAACGCCGCCTGTAAAGCTTAAGACTGTGTCAGAAAGACAATACAACCATGATACTGTATTCCAAGAAGAAAAGCTTCCCGGCTGCTGCGAGGAGGTTGCACACAGTAAACACCAGGAATATATAAATAGTAATAACACCATGATTAAACCTACTGTACACTCAAAACTTCAATTTACTACCATTTCACAGCTTTGAACTACAATGGAAACTCAAACTTTAGTTTTCAGTGCATCAATTGGCATTTTAAAGGACTAGTTCACTCAAAAAAACAAATTAAAAAAAAGCCCAAACAAACACATATTCTCTCATTTGAACCTAAACATATATAAACAGGGAGATACTTGACCAAGATTTGGGATATTTCTTCGTCAACTACAATGAAGAAACTTCTTTTTCTGGTCATCGCACTGAAAAAATACACAACATTTAATGAACTTTGGATAATCTACAGACTTCACTGTCAACGGTTTTCAAAGGGACTATTTCCTCTGTAAAAAAGTAGTTCCAGTGAGGGTTGGGTCATATGACAACTATGTGAGACATTATAGATTTGTCAGCTGTCAGAGACTTTACCATACTGTTATACTGTGGAAGCTAACCTCTTAACATCTGGGGTTGTATTACATCATGGGTGGTCATTTCAATTTTGCAACCCTGGGGGAGGGACACATATGAAATGAGGGGTTTGGGAGCCTTCCCAGGAAATGTTCAGCGTCACTTTTTCCTGCATTGTGAGGATTTTTTATGCATCAGTTTATGGTGTAAATGTCTTTAATTTCATCAATAAAAGTCCTCATGTTTTTATTGGGGAGGGCTCTAAATAATGAGGGGGGCATGTCCTCTGCATCGCCCCAAAATCTACACCTATGCTGCTTCAGTGGGATCAAGTTCATGTGTCAGGTATTTCGTTTGCTGGATTAATGCTGAGATGTACAGCACTGTGGAGACTTTGGCTACATTCTGGCTTTCATATTGTCAATAGATTTTTCCAGGCGATGTACTATGTCACATATGTGTGTGTTGTGTAACTGTGTTCTTCGTCTCCCTCTCTGCATTGTTCCCCATCTTATGGATTTTTTTTTCTTTTGTTTTGCTGTTTGCTGTTCTGGTTCTCTGTAAAGTGTCTGTGAGTAGCCAGAAAAGCTCTATATAAATCCAATACATAGAAAAGTTGATACATTCTGTGCATCTTGCAGAGTAACAGCGACACTGTTTCTGTAAATACACACTGCTGTGCAAATCTTTTTCAGTGCAATTTCTCAATGATGTGAGCACCACAAATCCAATTTCATTCACCTACATTATGTTACGGTAGAGCTAGAAAAACAAAATTTGTATGGCAAGATATTACAATAGTTTTTAATAATTGTGCATGTAAGATGATCCTTCAGATGGCAAAGGAAAGTTAAACCACACAAACCATAAATTATGATACATGAAATCATGTGCAACCTCACTTACCACACACACACCCATATATGCAGGGCTTCCCTGTACGTAACGTGCAGAAGTGGTAAGACAGACATGTGTGACACAGCTCATTTGATCAACTTAGTTAGTAGATCATGACCTAAATAACAGCCACATTCATGTCCGTTCTTTGAAGCTTAATATAATGTCAGATTTTTGCAGGGGTTGGGTCTGACACACTGCACACTATATCACAAAAGTCCTTAAGCGAGTCATACCACTTCAAGTTCAAACCAGTGTGCACTCTCACCTACATGCAAACAGCAGCACACGCTTCTGCTGCGTACTGTCAGTAGAGACTGATGGGCTTTTGTGTTTAGAAGCATTTTAGCCTAGAGGGGTAAAGATCGCAGTCACATTGTTGAGTAGCAGCAAAGAGACTGTAATGTGTGTGTCTGTGTGTGTGTGAGCATGTGTGGGAGTGCAAGGGGCTGTGTCTCCTCTGCATTCACACACACACAGTGAGGACTGTGCTCCAGGCTATATGTTATGGCAGCAGAGTGAAGGATGTGACTGTGAGGAAGATGACTGCTCGCTCACATGACACAAATATAAGAGGTTTACAGACCCTTCCCATAACCCTTCACCACCAACACCATCACACACACATGCACACACACACACACACACACACACACAGCCTACAGTCTTTCAGTTCCTGCTCTGTTGAAATTCACTTGAACAGTCAATGAAAAATACCTTCTCCTCTATGAACTTGCATAAGCTGATTAAACGGAATATGAACCATACAAACTGGCACAACACACTGATAGACCGTTATAGTCTCTGTGCCGTGAACAGGATGGTCAGCCTTCCTGCAGTGTCTTCATTATCCAGTCTAAATGTTTATTCCAGCTCCCAGAAGTTTACCTCATAGCTGCTACAACTCCTCACTGCTCCTCCCTTTACTAATGGAAACCTTGTGACGGAAACTGACTGACCCATATTCAAAATGACAGTTATAAAGTCTCTTAAAGTTATTTCTGATTGTGCACAAGAGCAGCACACTGCCACAGCTGCCATAACTGTAAGAAAACAGCAGATAAAAGTATCCAAAACGCAGCGCGCTTTGACTTTAGTGCGCATTTTGGTAAAACAATAGCACGGTAAGAGTTTCATTTGTTTCAGAAGAGATCCCTCTGGTCATTTCTTACCACTTCAGCAATGAGCAGCATTCCTTTTCTGGAGGAGGCGAACTCTTTGCTCGGGAGAATGGAGAGCAGGACATTCTGGCGCGGCCGATTCGAGTTGGGAGCCTCGATGTCCCCCATGGTTGGAGAAGGAAAAAAAAAAGCTACAATCACTCCTCAAACTTCAGATAGCCCCAAACTACCACGTCACACAGCGGGTTCAAGGCAAAACAAAAAAGATAATGTGGAGGCGTGAGGCTTCTCGGAGGTGGAAACGGAAACAATGACAGCGCGGAAACGCAGCGCCAGCTCCCAAAAAGCACAACATCTGCTTTCTCCAGATGTGAAATGCGATGCCCCCCAGCTGCATACAACACAGTCCTCAGCCACTCAGTGGAAACATCCAACTCATGATGTCACAAGGCTAAAATAAAACTTTATTGATGTTTGTCATTTCCATCAGATTCATGTCAATTTTACAAATACGCACAAAATACAGCTGAAATCTTAAATATGCTGAAAAACTTTGGATTATATTGTACAATACAGTCTTAGAATATACTCAAGAGAAATAAATTAATGGTAGAAGACTTCTTGATCTTAATGCTCACATAGTACAATGTGCTCATTTACTAATTGATTTATTATTAATTTGTTGTTGTTTTTTGATTCTGGGTTTCACTTCTTGGCCTGTTTAATGTGATGTTCCTGAAAAGCAAGTAGCTGTCCACACACAGGACCACAGCTGATATCAACCCGAATATCTGCAAATAAAGAGCAGATTTCAAAATGAATGCATCATGTCAAGACATCTAGGGGAACAGGGGAAAACAAAATCATGTAACACAGAACTGATATTGCAAATAGGGGAGAGTGGGGCCAGTTGGGACAGTTTTGCATTGACATTAAATAACCTCCTATTACTCACAGACTGCTTGAACAGTAATAATACTAACTTAAGTTTTTTTAGAGTCCAACCCAAATGTGAAATTCACAATTGACCCTTTGCTAAGTCCCACCTTTGGACACAGACTGGCCAGTCATAATGATATCCTTCATTTTCAGGCTGGTTTTGTGGATTTGGAGCTAAATGTTGTGTCTGGGGCACGTCGTGTATTAATGATACTTGTTACCTGGAGAGGTTGGAAAAAGATATATGTTTCTTCCCTGTTCCAAAACCAAAATCAAACCCTGAAAAGTGTAGGGTTAGCTAACGTTAGCTAGCTACTGAAGATATAGCCTACTGAATGTATACACATGCTGCTTTTGCTTTTTAATGATTATAACAGTGAAAAAAAGACCGACCCTGCTGTACAGGAACCAGTGAAGGGAAGCAGGGGAACTTTACTGATATTGAACCAGCTGTGTGTCATCTTAGTATGTGCAGATGAATGTTGTTTAACTTCTTCTAAAGATCGTGGTCCAGGTGCTGGCAGTGGCACGGGGGCGAAGCCAAACTCCGTTCATCTGCACACACTGTGATGCCACACAGCTGGTTCAATATCGGCAAAGTTTCCCTTTATATTCATTGTCTTCTGTGGCGATCAGCAGTGATGTGGTGGTTCACTTTTACACTGTGATCTGTAGCCTATAGTTCGGCTTTAGCTTCTAACTATCTTTGTCTTTTTAACCTGTTGTTGCTGCTGAGTCAGTTTGACATCCTGGATATTTCTTTCATACACAGACTGTAGACCCCTCTGTCTGCTTCTCTCTGGAATCACTGTTTCATTTTTCCAAAAATTCGATAATATTTCTTCAGGAAGTGCAGTTAGTTACAGTGTGGGCTCCATGCTTACTCCGACTATCACAAAGGGGCGGGGCTCAGCCAAAGGTCAGTTTTGTAAAATGTACAAGGAGTGCATTTTCCCAGAATTCTGCCTCTCTAGGACAATTGAACACCTTCTATTTACAATTTTACTTGCTCACACAAACATTTCACAACTGTGAATAAAATGCGAGGAACACTCAGAGGGTCTCCACTTTGAGGTTGAAACTGAAGAAAGTGTGGCTGAGTATGAGCATTGTGAATGCCATAGGCATAGTTGCTTTCTAACTTGCTACTAACCACCCCCTTGTCCCTCCGACCCCACTCTCCCCATATAGATTAGAAAGAAATATTCCTCACCCCTCCAACCAGTGTGCCTGTGACAGTGTACGTACTCACAGCCAACAGGCTCAAGATGATAAAGTAGACGGCTGCAAACACTGAATTTAAAACATCCTGAGGAGAAGAAAAAAAAAAACCAAGAACATTAAAAATGCAACATGTACTGTGGACTAAGATGTGCATGTGCTGTAAAAAGAAAACACCACCCACTATAAGAGGCCAAAAGAAGAAAGTCAGCCTCTTGTTGAGTTTGAAGATGTACAGCAACACCAGAAGTGCAGTGATCAGAAACTCCAACACTGTGGCTGCGATGTATTTTGGTGTGGATGCTACAGCGAAACACACAAACGCCACAAGCAGAGTCACCTAGAGACACAGCAAACACAGAGATGGTTACTGCAGTAATACAAAATATCCTTAGGGATTTAAATATGGACAAATGATTGAATTGTAATCGCATGCACTTCCAAGAGTGTTCAGGGACCCCTGTATGCAAAAAATATTCCAATACAATAGGTGAAAATGAGCTATCTGTACTGCATGCAACATGCTGCATTGTTTTTGCCCAAAACTGCATTCGATTGACATAAAGAGGAGACTGGTGCAACCCATTTTCATTCAGATATCTTGAGGTTAGAGTTCAAGGGATGCCTGTGAAAATGGCCATGCAAGTTATGTAAAAACAAATAAATAAATATGCCATACTTACATACATATGCATACCCGCATATACACATTGTATGGCTAGGCTACAGTTAGCTTCTCATTTAAGGCTTTAAAGGACAAGGGGACAAAGGAAGCAGAAGCCCAGCACCATCACTTCTTCTGTTTCACTCACTGCCTTCTTTCAAACATGTTGCACATCTCAGTTTATGCAGAAAAAGAGGAACTAAGTCTCCGCTAATATTTCCACATCACATATTTTTATACACACAACTGATCCACTTGCTCCTTCAGCCTCTAAAAATGCTCTCGGTGCATCAATCTGGGTCACTGCTATAAACAAACTAGTTCTGGTTAAGGAATTTTGTGCCCTTTCTTCATCCCTGCCTTACGTACAGTATCTGTTCCCCTTTCTGATTTATACTTGACACGTCTGAGATGTCACAACGCATCTGTCCCAAATTGAAAAAACCTTCAAACTTTTGATGATGTGTGAAATGTCTCACCATCTCTGCCACTTTTAGGATCCCCCTTTTGGACTTGATAAAAGCAGTGTCCACCTCCATGGCTGTTTTACTCTGGTCCTCTGACATGATGGTGCAAGTTGACTTGCAGAAGACTGCTCACTCTGTCTGTTTCCTGAAACATGCAATTTCCTTTCAGCTTTATAGGAAATGAGCGTTGCTACGATTATGCGCAATATTTTTACACCAGCAGCCGTGTGACACATTCACTGAAGAAGCTAAAGCAGACCTACTCTGCTCAGTATGTGCTCTGACTTTTACAGGAAAAGACAGAGGACCGTAGAGTAATTTTGATCAGGGCTGGTGATCTGTCAAACTGAATGGAAGGAGGCCCAAAAATAGTCAGGATACAATGTAGTAAAAATACTTTTATTAAAAACCACAAATGCTGCCGTATGCATACAAGAAGTACACAGAATTAATCCAATAATCCAACATGGCACAATTAATTTCATTAGATCTAAATAAATACAGTCCCATATCTGCTCTACATCATCAAAATGAGTCTGGCTCTTGATGCAGAGCTTCTCCAGAGCAGGTAAAACTTGTGTTGGCTCATTAAAATCACAGCTGTGAAAAGCAGTTTGCATAATCAATGTAATGTTGTACATCAACATTATTCCCTTAGTTTTACCTCACGTCATTCTCCTCAACATTGTGCACAAACCATTTTACAAAGAATTTGAAGATTCATCCTTTTAAAAAAATACTGTTGTCTGTTGTTCTGTAGAAAGGCACATCTCCAGGTTTTGGTTCCTCATCGTCTCAGTGCGGCCAGTCACACTTCCAGGGCGCAGACTTGGGCACTTTGAGACACTTTCCTAACTTCTCACAGCCTGGGGGGGCCCAGTTCTGAAACAGAGAGCAGACGTCAAAGTAAGCGCAAGAATATGATGTTATCAGAGATTACAGGGAGACGCATTACTGTTTTTGTCCTGCCCTGTGGAATGAGGGTCTTACTATATTCCTATTAGGTGGCCAACAATTATTCAAACATAGTGGCCTCTCAAGAAAAACAAGCACGTCTCTGTCGCCACATTCTTTATGATGCTCCTAAATTCATCAATGGATATAAGTTTTTCTAATTTACGAACTTTTTTTAACATAATTCCATGCCCAAAGTGCAGAGTAGGAGATTACAGTTTTCCCCAGATCTGTTAAACCCGAGGTTCATTATAAAGCAGCCACTTGGAGGAACGAAGCTGGTAACTACCAGAGCTGACACACAGAAGGGTGCAAAGGTCGGCCGCAAGTTTCCTCAATATTGCTTTATAGATAAAAACAAACCAGTGCTGTTGTCTGCGAGTGGTCAAGTCTGTTTCACAATATCACGTTTAAGATGTATCACAAAAAGGTTTATCTTATTGGAACTGTGATGCAGGGGTACGTGTTTGGGATTTTTAAAAAATATGCATGATATTTTAAAGATTTATGCATTGCTTGTTTATTTAATTGTAACATGTTTAGCAAAATTTATTTATAAAACAATAAGTTCATGAATGGGTGGTGATATTACAGAGCAGGTTTCACACTGCACAGTCATTTACATTTGAAAACCCGCTCACCAGTGAAAGTAAAAGTAACCTCTAGGTTTGCTCTTGTTTGGTGTTTCGCTGTGTAACTTGGATGCCTTCTGCTTATGGTCGGCACCTGGTCACTTCCTCTTTATAAAGCCCTGAGCTTTTTCACTTGAGCGCTGTGGGAGTACACACTCATAAATGTACCAAACACAGAGGCAGCAGAGGCCATGTTGTCTTAAGTAATGATGTAGAGGGATTACTTCTTTTTTAATGAAGATCCTGCCTAGTGTATCTTTAAGTAGTCAAATCTCAGTTTCAGTTCAATATGGATAATGACATGCTTTAGATATAATATATAAAAAGTCAACATATGTGTATTAGCATAACACAGAGCACCAAAATATTATTCACTCTAGCTGTACTTGAAATTGGGTTTATTTCTCCACCACAAGGGGGCAGTGCTACGCCACAGATGAACCCACAGCAGCAGCAGTGAGGTGACAAAGCCACTGCTCAATTTAGCTCCTTTAAATAAACCTACAGGAGATTTTCTTTTCAGAAATGTATAACACACACACAGTGGAGGAGAAAAGGTGCAGATTAATGTTATAACATATGATTCCATCAAACATGATACACATTCTGGAGCAAGTTAGATACAGTGATAAACAGGGATGAAAATAAAACATGAAGTCTGTGGGCTCAAAAACAGACAGCAACTCTATTCAGACTTTCAGATTCACAGCTTTTTCATAAGGGCTCAATTTCTCTCATGTATTCACTTATTTGTCGTACAAGCATGATGGACAGAGAACAGAGAGATCAGGTGCAAACACGTTGGGCTTTGAAGGCGGCTGGCCCAAAAGAAACAAACCCTATCTGCTGTTAAATAGTTTTGGACCCCTGCTTATGGATTTACTGAGAAAAGAGTTACCTGCCCATTTTCACAACATTATTATTGTTTTTGCAATTACACCATCAATGTGTATCATGGTATTTATGTCATGTAAATCTCACCATCACTGCCCTATCACACATGTTGAGCTGGGGAGCACCGGGCACCAGAGTCCGTTTATGCTCCTCCACAACTGGAGAGATCCTGCTCAGCACATCCTGGTACTCCTTAGTCAGGACACTGCAAACACACAATACACATGGTCACAAAGGCTACGACTAACAGTTAGTTTCATTATCTATTATGTGCACGATTTTGGGGGGGAATAATTGAAATTAATGTAAAAAAAAAAATAGGTTAAAACAACAAACATTACATCTTCAAAACCCAAATATATTAAATTTATAATGATACATGACATATTTTAGAAGCAAGGGTCGACATTTTTGCTTGGAAAATGACTGAGATGATGAATCAGTTTTTAAAATATTTACCTCACAATCGTCAGAATTTGAGATCAGTATCTAAAGTGTGTAATTAACAACAACAATTAAGATAACACTGAATGAGTTTCAATTGATCTACTGGTGAAATATAAACTCGCCTCCTCTTATACAGTTTTCTCATACGTTATCCTATAATGCTTACCCACATCAACGCAAACGCACACAGTCTGTTTTCTTTTCTGAAACATTTTTCTACGAACTGAGAAGCCTAACAAACAACCACACACACTAACACACAGACAAAAATGAACATAATTTCCAAATGTTTGTCTTTTTGTCAGGGAGTGTTGTAGTGAATGCACTGTGCACATGTATCCAGTCCACGCTTAACTCATTATATCAGAGAGAGGACATGGTGTAGCTTTCAATGACAAAAACATAAACACACACACACACACACACACACACACACAGGCTGTCCACTTGGGCACCCTTTGGGAAAGCGCACTCAGCAGGGTGAACTATGTAACCCCTCTCCCATCCCCTGTCTCTCAATTACTACTGTTGGACACCAGTGAGCCCGAGCACCTCTGTGCATTATTATATTCAGTGTGTAAAACACAGCGGCCCCGAAGGCTTTCAAAGGAACGCTGCTCTCAATAGGACCTGTAGGGTTAATGGGCTGTGTGTGTACGCGTGTCTATGTGTGTGTGTGTGTGTGTGTGTGCGTTGGGGGAGTGGGCGTCTGGTGGCGTGACACACAGATAGACAAATATCAGCAGTGCAATTACACCCCTGATACACTCGCCGGCAGCACCTGTGCCAGCCTTCCATCCTCCCTCCACTGCAAACCCAGCCCTCTGATTGGCCCCTAGGGAACGTGTGCATGTGTGTGAGGTGAAGTGTCAATTAGAGTAATAACCCCGGGCCCTGTCCAGCTCACACCTACCCTCCCTCTTAGATCTCCCACAGGGCAGCAAGGCTTCCTCCATCAGCCAGCACCTGCTCCTTTCCTTGATACTCTCAGTCTTTACTTTCCCCTACAATTACTCGACTGGTAGTGCACTGGCTGCAATTAGTCTCTCTCCTGGTGTGCCGCATTCGTCATAAGATAACCATGTACGTGTTTTGACCCCCAGCTGATAGGGAAAACTGGATTACTCCCCTCGGTTAAAAATCAGACATTCAGATTAAATTGCTTCAGCTATCTAAAATCGCAAATTCTGCTTTCGCCCAATCTCGATCAGCGAGAGGGATATTTCATTCCCCTCCTATCTGTGCCGGCTACTGATTGTCGTGATTCATTTTGTGATAAGTGATGAAGCAACTTAATAGAAGTAAATGTAAGGGAGATTTATCAGACTGCCATAAGTATTCAATTCCCCCATACAAGTCTGCATGCAAAGTGCGTGACGCGCTGAGAAACTCGCACAAGACATTAAGTTTTGTATTGTTTTGTCTATGTACCGAAAATCTCACACTGCAGACCTCTAAATCAAAAACTAATAATATCATTTGTTTATGCCCCCTCTGCAAACAAATAATAAAAAGCCTACAGTCAGCACAGCTCATTATCATGATTATAACCCTTAGCTTACTGGTGTAGAGGCAAAATCTGGAATAATAAGCAGGCTGTATGCAAATTAAGTCTTTTGATTTATAATGTATGGCACCCAAGGGGGATGGGGGCATTGCTCAGGTGTGTCACCACTCTGATTACTGATTCATAACACTATTGCTGGAGCGCACACACAGGCACACACACACACACGCACAAACAACCACACAGTGGCAGAAGGTGGGGGAATTGAGGAGACAATCAAATACATCTGTCCTGCCTTCCCCTCCCTTCCACCCTCCTTCTCCACCCTGGTGGAAATTGAGCACTTCAGTAAGGACTATTGATTGGGGACACAAGAGCATGGTGGCAGGCAGCAGATGAGGCCAGACTGTGCAAGGACTGCCTGCAGCGCTGGGGCTGGGACTACACTCTGGATGGCCGGGGGCCCTGGGGACGTGAGCTGAGGTAGGTGGCGTGAAAGTAGGATGTGTTAACCTCGGGACCTTGGGTCACAGAGACGGAGGGCGAAGTGGAAGGCAGCAAAAGGCTTTAAAGGATCCAATGAGGATCCAGACTTGCTGAGTTGGGTAGATCCTGGACACACGGACCACCAACACGGCCCTTGTCATCTCTAAGTAATCCTCTGTTTGTAATCAGTTACAAGTCAGCAGAAAAACAACCACAACCTAAAATCTACCGAACCTTATTCCCACATTGTCTCCTAGATTGCATAATTATAATCCTCACTGTTTGGATATGCTCTCTGAGGATAGTTGTGTGTGTGTGTGTGTGTGTGTGTGTGTGTGTGTGTGTGTGTGTGCTCTTTGCTGTATCACACCCTGCGACAGTAGTGAAGGTATGTGTGCAGACAGGCCCTACATCATCTTAAGTGGCTCTTTAGGTGCAGACAGAGATTAATGACGGCCAGGCAGCCAGTCCAGCTGGGGGACCGAGGAGCACACGGACAAAACGCACACGTACACATGTGTCCGCACACACACACACACACACACACACACATACACACATGCACACTTAACGAGGATGGAGGAGACGGTCCCAGTGGATGCAGAGGGACAGCAGCTGAGTGGTGAGAAGTGAGCCGAGGTGTACAGCAGGAGGTGGAGAGGGAGAAGTAACAAGGCAAAAAGTAAGACAAAAGTTTGGAGAGGAAGAGGAATGACTGGTGTTGATTGGAGTGGATAGGAGAAGAACAGTGAAGAGGGGGGCGATGACCTTGTGGGCCGAGTCGATGACCCCTCTCTGCAAAGGTGAAAAATGAGTGCGCATTTTTGGTTTGTGTGCACATCTAGCACTCGGCACAACACATATGCGTATTGATTGGTTTGGCTTTTTTCTATTCTTCCAAGTGAATAGCAGGGCTAAAAGGTGGGCAATTGAAAAACAACATTAATGTTTTATCATCCAATCTCACTGCAGAACTGAAAGGAGTTGGAGCAGGAGGCAAAGAGGAGATGAGGCCAGAGCAGAATGTAAGAGGCAGAGCAAAGGGATCCTGAGATTATCTTAATGTATTAGTCATGGCGTCAGATTGCGTAATGTTTTCTAAAAGATCCAATAAATGTTCTGCATTGACAGCACACAGTAAGAGATGACGCTCATCTATCTTTGTGCCTTTAAGCTGGGCATACACTGTGCGATTTTAAGCCAGTTTCTGACTCAATTTTCATCTTTGAGGGGGAGAGCCGATCATGACCTGATCAACTGGACCGTCGGACAAATTTCCGGCATGTCAGAAATTTTGCTCAGCAGTTGTCAGGCTCTCACACAGTTGAAGCAGAGGCATTCCCCGAGGTCAGTGCCTGTTTTCTCAATGCGCCTGCACCAAGTGGCAAACATCATCTAAAAGCGTCATGGCGACACAACACGCCAGACTGGTGAAGCTGTGGCAACAGTTTCTCTCCTCCTCCTATCACGAATGATATGAACGAGGGAAACATCAGGATATAGCCGACGATCTTCAGCTGCCTGTCAATACTTTCTGTACTAAAAGATCCGCAAGTAAACAAACTTCTACCTGCCTTGAATCCTTCAAACTAATCTTAATTCACAATTGTGTTTTCTGTCTTTTCTTTTCTTTTCTTTTCGTCAGATCCGCATTAGCACCAGCAAAAGCACTGGCTATTCTTCCTGAGGTCCACACACATACAGCTGTACACACTTATACACAATTTAACAAATATACACAACAAACAAAGCAGCTCATGTCACCGGATTAACATAAAGTACGTAAAATAAAATAAACTGTCATCCTTTTAACTAAAATTAAGCCGAGCACAAAATTAAAAATCAATCTCAATTCCTCAAGAACTCATAGCTTACTTGATTTTTTGATCTTGACACAAATACATAATAATTCTTAATAATTCTGAGCTTGAATTATATTTTTATCCATCCAGTGTTAACACAAATTTAATTCAAAGAAAATAGGGTATCAAAAAAGGAAAACAGAGAAAAAAAAATTATGTTTTTATTTCAGGTCACGACTTGATGATAAGGCAGCCAGCACAGTGTGACACATAAGTCATGAGCTTTGGCTTTACATTGCAGATGACTGGAACCCACAACATTTCTAAAATGGTGCGGTATATACCCAGCTTTATTTAGTAATAGTCTTAGTTCAGCTTTTACTGTCTGTGTCCTCTGGCGTCCTTATCCTTTTGCCGTTTCTTAACTCTCCTCTGAGCGCAGACATACAAAACTCCATTAAACAGCACTCGCTCTCAATTTAGACCTGAACAATTTATCTTGCAATTTTAACCTGCAGCGGTGCACCGGAGGGTTGAGGACCAGATAGTGATCTTTAAGGAGCTGTTTGCAATCACAAAGAGGTGGGTGTAATCAGGCGAGCTCTGGCTGAGCAGATCAATCCGACGCCTTCTTTTTCATGCCACTGAATCAGCATTGATCTCATACACAGTCTGTGTTACCGACAGGCAAACTGCTTTCCTATTCTCACCCCTCTCCGGTTCATTTTCCAGCATCTCTTCACTTGTTCCTGGTTGACTTCACTCTCCTCCCTCTCTCATTTTTCCCCTCACCTCACCTCTGTCCTCTGACTGGAAATCAGCTGTACGCGGAGTTGAAGTTTCCGAGGAACTAACCTGATGGGGAACTTCTCCCCAGGATCCCGTCCCAGGTGGAAAATGATCGGTTGCATTGTGTGCTCTTTCTGCTCGTGGGTAGTCACACCCGGGACCTCCTGACCTGGACAGAAGTTGATGCCCTGTAGGGGAAATCGCACAAAAAGACACAAACCTTTTTGAATTTTTACTTGAACAGAAACACATTGATGCTAATATAGTTTCATTTGAACAATCTCCAAATTGGCTCATAATTACATTGTTACATACATAAGTAATATTAGCTGACTACCTACAGATGTGTATGATCTTGTATGTGTATCATAATGTAACTCAAGCAGAGTATGGATTAGATTATAGACTGATAACATTTGAGGAGGAAAAATGAACCCTTCAGATTAGTTTTTCTTTCTCTTCAGTTTTCTAAGTTATTGGATGTTATTCTGCACGCCTGCTACAGTTTAATTTTACACCATTAAAGGGATAGTGCACCCAAAAATGAAAATTCAGCCATTATCTCCTCACCCATATGCCGATGGAGGCTCAGGTGAAGTTTTAGTGTCCTCGCAACACTTCTGGAGATCCAAGGGGAGAAGGGGTAGCAACACAACTCCACCTAATGGAGGCTTACGGCGCCCCAGATTCGCTCGAGACCAGCAAAAGCACGTCTCGCGCACACGTGAGCGCAGCACACAGAGAAGCAGTTACAGCTACAGGCTACAATGAGGCTAAAAAAAAAAGTTCAAATGACGTTTTTCCAAACAACTTTTCATGTCGGGGCTTCAGGACAGTTGGATCACTACGGACGAGCAGTATGGAGATATTTTGTGGTTTCAATTATGTGTTTTTGGATGTTTGAATCTGGGGCGCCGTAAGCCTCCATTAGGTGGAGTTGTGTTGCTACCTCCTCTCCCCTTGGATCTCTGCAAGTTTTGTGAGGACTCTAAAACTTCACCCGAGCCTCCCTTGGCATATGGGTGAGTAGATAATGGCTGAATTTTCACATTTTAACACCCAGCCTGAGTCCAGTGGCCCTGTCTTCTGTATGTATGCTGGAATAAGACTGCAACCCCCCTCAGGAAAGAGCAGAGCTGCCCTGTCTTGGCAGCAAAGCTCAGACTTTCTCTACTGAGAAACTCAACACAGTGTTTGCTTTTAGTTTTTATGCACCACAAGTGAAACCTAAGAAAAGAAAAACATATTCCCATCCAATTTTCTCAACAACCCTTGTTAATTTTTTTGCTCTCTGCAATGTCTTTGACTTCCTGTTATTATGCAATGGCTTGTGTCCAATTTGGTCATTTACAGTGGCTTGTATTTGATTCTGTTAAATGTTTCAGTTGAAACACATGCAGACAAGGACTTTTCTGTGTGTTTTATCATGTGCAATTCAAAACAAAGTCATACAACACACTCAGCTAAAGAGATCTGGATGTTTAGGCTCGCAGCCACCTGCTACTCTGAGCTCAATGCTGAATCTCATTGTAGTGTGGCCTATATGCATATTGTCTTCCAATCTGTTGTGTTATTTATGCAGCTACTGTTGGTGCATCATAACAGGGTCGAAGTCACTGGCAAAATAGAGGACTTTTCTTCCTTATGCTCCCCCTCACCCCCACCTCCACCTCCACCCCCACTCCCCCCTTCATCTCTCCACGCCTTCGCTCCTGCTCCCTGACTCCATTCTCGTGCGCCTGGCAGTGATCACAGCTTGATTGAGTCACACTCACTCCTCCAGAACCCCCTGGAGATCTGCCCCCTCCTTCAACACACACACACACACACACACACACACACACACACACACACACACACACACTTTTTGATGAGCACAACTAATATCGAGAAAGCATTCATCTGTAAGGCACTGTTGCTGCCCCCCTCTGAGATCGCTCAACGGAGTACCTCAAAAATACATATAGAAGAGAGAGAAAGAGAGAGTGTGAGAAGGATAGATACCCCCCGCCCTGCAGAGCCTCCTCTGATCCAGACTTGTCCTGTCTTTTGAAGCCAAAAGCTTAGAAATGCAGAAAGAAGGAAAAAAAAAACTCATCCCAGAGGAGCAGCCAGAAAGGCCTGCTGTGTGCATCTCTCTGACTCGGTCTCTTGTACCCAAGACATAACAGCAATAACTCCGAATCTCTCCTGACATTATTGCTATGGATACAACTAGGCTGCTTTCAAACTGGAGCAGAGCAGTCGCTATTGTAAGATAAGGTGCAGGAGCATCCAGCGGTGGCGGGATAGATTTTGGAAAGGAAATATTTGGCGTCTATTTTGATCCCAAAAGGAAAAAAGCAGCTTTGGAAGGAGAACAATCACTTTATGTAGATTGTGGCTGAATATTTTAAACTATTTATACTGTAAACATATCTATTTTCCAGTTTCACCCCCAGACAATTTTCATACTGGCCAGATGGGTCTACCAAAAATCTTGGGGTGGCACACCAAAACCAAAAGCCATAACTGAATTTCAGGAATTCAATTATATTGTTAAAGTATACAGGCTAGCTGAAATCTATGTCAATATGAAAGTTAAAGGCCTGCATACTCATATATTATGGTTTCCTATTCCACTGTTTATATTACTAATTATCTGTTGTGCTTAGACTAATATTGGTCCAATTAACATTTTGACAATCCTGTTTTCACGTGTTATGCAACTGTATATACATGTTTTAGGTGATTCAATGTTCTTCAGCTAGGCTGGTTGTCCTTTTCCTTAAAAAGACTAACACACAGCATTAATTTGAAGGAGTACATTGATTGTAAGGAACCAAACATTTACTGGGAACAAGCCTCGAGTGTAGGGGAGATTCGTGGGTAACCATAGAACCCATTTTCATTCATATATCTTGAGGTAAGCGTTGAAGAGACCCCTTTGAAAATATCAATGCCATTTGTTACCTCACAACATGTAGCCAAAATTCAGCCAGGAACACTTAAGTTTACTCAAGTAAACTTTATTTCCATTTGCAGTATTATATTTGGCGTTATGGCTCTGTTCAGGGGCCTCTCTGCCTTTCCTTGGGCCTACACAGAAAGCTTCTTTCACGCTCGTTTGCAGAAAGCCTAAGGCAAGAGAGCACACCTCTCTGCCCTTCCATGTGCAAATGAGGAAAGCCTAAAGCAGATAGAGCACATCTCCCTGCCCTTCCATACGCCTACATGGAAAGCCTAAGGCAGTAAGAGCAGCAGCAGAGACCCCCCGGGAACAGAACAGAGCAGCATCAATGACAAACAGAAATGACACTGATAAGTCAGACACAGCATGAAAAGGAGGAGCTGGGGTGGAGGCGGGTTGCAAAGCGGCTTGCAGAGGAAGCAGCAACAGTAGGCAGGCCAGAGCAGTTTGATTAGGGAGCCCTGAATGAGATTTGCCAATCGGTTGCATAGAAAGGAATCATGTGATCTATCAGCTGACTCCCTTCCATCAATCAGCTGCTCCATCAGTTGACTGGGCTGTTTGAGATCAGCTGATGTAGCTGAGATGTGAGCTGAGCTTGACATTGTGTCCTGCCTGAACTAATATGCTCAATTTTGGAGCATTATTTAGCTTCCCTCCAGACAAGCTGTGCTGACAGGGTTAAACTTGCTTGGGACTAAGTTAAAAAATGAGTTTGCCACAGCTTCCTAAAGACAGTGATGTTGGCCTCCAGTTATATTTGCCAGGAAGGGCCCAGCTATTGTATCAGAGGGGCCACTGCTACTTTCTACTTTATGGATTTGATCAGTGTATTTGACATATTCTACAAACATGTAAAAACCTGCAGTTGATGTAACCTGTGTAGGACTAACAGATATCTAGAAAACAAGTCATTTTTCAGTTTACATTGATCACCTTGAAGCATTCAACATGGTAAAAAAAAAAGCCATCACAGCTGCCGTAGAGCTGCTACTGTATCACAGGTTACTCAGCAATCCAGATACAAAGGAGCCACAGTCGCGACAAACTATATTTCGCAATATTAACATCACTACACTGCCTCGAGAGAGTTTGATGAGAGCCATTTAAGCCTGTGAAATTTCTCATTTTCCTCATGGCTGAGCTGCATGAACACAGCCAGGACAGAGTGATACGTCTCCCAGCTATTAACCTGTAATTTTGTTCTTCTTCACAGACACACATCTTCCCTTGTTTATTTTCTTACCATGGGCCAAGAAAAAACAAATTATATTTTAAAGTGTTACCAAAGCAGAAGAGCAAGCAGGAAAACATGATTTTTGTGTCAGTAAAAAGAAAGTTTGATTCTGTATTTCTGTTGCAAGACAGGTTAAAGTGAAGCCTGTAATTTTAAGGTTTAAAGGGTCCAGATCATTTTAAAATAATCATTAATCCATGTTATTCCTGCATGAGAAGGCCTAAACAAGAACTTTCCTTCTAAGGCTAATTTCATGCATAGTCTGACTTTGTGAAACACCTTAATAATTCGCTTTGTTTACATTTTCATGTTTATAAAATGCACTATAGTTTACATGAGATGGACACTTAAAGAATTCAGCCACAATGACATGAAGCATATTGGGAATTTAACTCTTGCTCCCTCAGAGGAACTCAACAGTGGCTCCATAAAACACACACACACAGGACATACATGTACATGTTTTCTCTGGTCCTTTCTCCCTCTCTCATGTACACACACACACCAATCGATAGGCAACTCACAGGCAATCAGACGCTATTATTTGTGAAGTTCCACTTCAGTTCACATGAGTTGATAAAGGAGGTTGCTATTGATTCAGCGGCCCTGAAGGAGAGAGCAATTTAAGCGACCGATGGGGCATAAAACAAACTGGATCACAGGAAAAGCAGAGCCATGATGGGAGGACAGGAGGACATGTTTTTATGGACAGAGGAGAGAGAGACGGATCTTTGCCTCTCAAGTGTCACATTTCACTTTTCTCCTGATACATTTAATCAGCGCCGAGTTGATGTAATTACGACCGAGAGATACTGCTGGCATCTGCCTTTCTTTCTTCCTTTTGAGCTCCGTGGTGCCAAAAGAACAAGTCTACAGCGGGGAACGTCAGTATGTAAATGCAGAGGAAGAAAATCTCCACTGGAGTCAGAACAAACAAGTCAACTGGTTGATGAATGATGTAAGTTCGCTGATGTGGGGGGTTCTTCATTAATATTCATTACGCTCTGATGTACACAGCAGTCAACTGATGAGCCATTTTCAAGATAACACCAACAGTGAAAGTGTTTGTGTGTTTGAGTAAGATTAGGAGAGACAAAGAGGGAGGATGTGGCAGTGCAAATCAGGAACTGAGGAAACAGAGATGGCACAGAGTTGCTGGATTAAAAGGGAATCTTACCTTTTTAAACTCTTCCCATGAGTTGCTCCAGGTCCAATAGTGGGCCTTGTATTGTCCAAGCCTCACGGCCATAAGCTGATTTCCTCGGTAATAGAAGATTGGCCTGTTGAGGTTGATGGGAATGTCATTAGTTTTGCAGGTATTTGGTCATAAGTATTGGACAAAATACAATTCTGACCTTATGATGACACAAGAGGAAGAGGAAATGGGACCATCCACGACACAAAAGTCTACACAAAGCTCCACTGTAATACTTACAGTAGTTATTGAGATAGTTAGGTCAAAATGGTGACCGGACCGACTTAAAACCACAGAGCTAGCATGGCTCAAAAAGCTGCCTTGGTGACCTCTTGCATGACAAAATTAACACTGCTCTCCCACTCAAAAGTGTCTAAAAAATGAAGGGGACTTTTGCCCCAAAGTAAAGGACACAAACGGCAAACAATCTCTAACCAACTGGTAAAATCCTGTAACAAGTAATGCAATCTTGAAACCCTTTGGCTATCAGTCTGACAACAATAAGCCTCTAGGGGAAATGGTCAGTCTTTCCGAGTAGGTATTGCTGCAGCTGGAGTAGCTACGTAATTCACCCACCAGCTACATCACAACTATACCAACAAGGTCAGTCCCCTTTGCCCCTTGATCCGGAAGTGGAACCTCTTAAGAAAATGCTATGCTAGCATTTAGATAGCTATGGGTAAGGGTGAGGGTCTTGTTTAAAGTGGCTGATTGCTACTTTAAGCCTTATCCATTCTCGGAACCCATCGGCTGTATTCGGCGCCTGACTTCCAGCAGATGGCAATACAGCCTCTGGGGGCAGACCCCTGATTTTTTGGCATTCCGGTTTGATTTGGGCGGAGGAGGCGAACTTCCGTTTCCGACTTCCGTATATATATAATAAGTAAATATTCTGAACCATTGTGATGGATTCAGAGTTTGCAGTGACGCCAATTATGTTTCGTTAGTTCACCGCACGGAGCATTTAACCTGGCAACAACTGCAGCCGGCTCAAATGTGATTGATCAATATCACGCGGACTATGAACAGCCTATAACCGGAAACCAGGGCTCTTCCGCTCTTCTTCCGGAGGCAAGATCTCCGGGGTTTGCCTACAGACTCTACATTCACTGAATGTAGAGTCTGTATATAGAGACTAAGCCTTATCGTATGCAGCAGGGTTCAAATAACTGCAGCACTAGCGGGTTTGTCTTGTACTGGTGTAGGGTGCAGTATGCAAGGATGTGCCATGTAAGCTTCAAACAGAATTTGGTTGAATGTGTCAATATTTTGGGGTTTCCTGTATAACCAGCAGACACGTGGGCCAAGACTTCCTCTTTCATGTGCCAATAATTTCAGCTAATCTCTGAAAACAAATATTGTTCATTCATACACATATGAATGCAGAAAAATTTAAAAAGCCATTTTGTCATCAGACAACAGCTGATGTGTTCTGAGATTGCATTTTGGCCAGTTTGTTCCACCTCTATGCACTTCTTTGATTGGTCAATACTACTCCACAAACGGAAACCAGAGTGCTTCTGATATCAGCACCTTGTCCAGTTGCCTACAGATTCTGCATACATATACAAGTATCTTTTCTTCGAGATTACAGCTAGTGTGTGTGCTTGCCTGTCTTGGTGTGTATGCATGCCGCTAAGCAGGACAGGTGTCAGGTCCAGTCCGTCCAGGGTTCTGTCATCGGGAGGGGTGATACCGGCCAGAACCAGACTGGTGGTGAACAGGTCCATCACACTGGCCAACTGGTAATTCACCTGTATAAGAACAAAGAAATAAAAAGCTCCATTCACTATCTGCAGTATGAGAAGCCATTTCACACAACCTGCGAGTCAGGATCATTAAAAGTGAGGAGCTTTGAGGGAATGAGGACTGGCCAAGTGTCCTTTCAAGGACTAACACACATTTTTTAATGGCAGTGCTACCAGGTGCTGTTCTTCTTACCACAAACAATGTAGTCATGGTTTTGCGTATATCTCCACCACTGTTTCTAAGAATTATTCCTCAATGATTTTGCTTCTGTTTGCCATCAGTGCCAAATAATTACAAGTTCACAAATCAGGAATGAACAGTTTTATAGTTCAGGAATACCACAAGCTCGCTCCTTTATGCAGGATTTTCTTTATGACTGTGAACAAGGGAAGAATGCACAGTCATGATAGGATGTTTGTATGTGTTGCTGTGTGTACACATGTAGGAAAGAGGTGCATTTCTCCAGTCTCCTCTCTAATCTCTGCTTGCAGGTTTTTTATAAAGCCTCCAAAATGCTTCTCTTTCTAAATTAGTTTTTTTTTTGGGGGGGGAGGAAACGAAAAAGGAGGAGCGAAGAAAAAGAGGAGAGAAAGTAGGAAGAGGACAAGGCCCGGGCAAGCAGGCGGCTGGAGCTGGAGCGAGCTGGTGTTTTATCTCCTTCTCCCAGTCCCACTGAAAAGCTTTATTTTATTTATAAACTTTGAACTATTTTCAGATAAAATGACATTTTTTCGTTGTCATCCTTGATCTTCCGTTCCATTCTCTCCTGAGCGAGCCTTAGAGGGAGACGGCACGCTCACAATCAGATAGCACTATCAGGCCTCTGCAGCTGCACCGCCATGTGCCGCTGTGCTCCTATCGGCAGCCAGCACACATACAGACACAGACGCACACACACATGCTCCTTAGCACTGAAATGAATTCCCTCTTTCTTCTGTATCCACAGAACCAGCCACAGAAAAGGCTTTGCAATGCATTCCATGATCTATCTGCACATCCAGACTTTCTCCTTCTCACACACATGCGCACACACACACACACACACGCACACACAAACACTAACAGATTTAGTCCTTCACTTCATTTTTCTTTTCTTTTTTTTCAAAGTCCCCCTCATACAGACACACACACACAAACCACTAAAGAAGACAGGACAAAAGGACACAAGAAGAAGCCAAACTGACATTTAGTTGGTAATAACTTGCATGACCAAAAAAAGCAAAACTTTCAGACTTAGACGGCTCTGACGGAGGAATTTATCTCATGAGTTGCCATCTTTTATTTCCTTCCTTCATTAGCTCTGCCCTCGTTTGTAGTCAATGCCAAACTTCATTCTTTCTTCACCCTTTGTTCATTCTTCTTCTTCTCTTTTTTTGACTGACTCATCACTCTCTATTAACGTCACACTCTCTTTCTCTCGTTTCTTTCTGTGTCGTGAGTGGTGATGTTGGTTATCTGAGGAGGCAGTGCTTCTATCCCCGTCTCTGCCACTCTGCCTGTGTGTCTGCTGCCTGATAAAACACAACAAAAGGGATTGGGGACGCTCGACAACGTGGTGGGGCCGAAACCCCACCCGCCTCCCCATCTTTGTTCCTGCAGCCGCTCACCCCTTGTCACCCTGGCCCCCTCGCCCCCCTCAGGCACTGGGAGAATGCTGAATATGCACCTGCTTCAGACCAGCAATGCCCCCTCATTCCTGTACACCACCTGCTGTCCTCCAGAATTTGACAACAACGTCCTGCACATTTAGTCAGTTAAATTTCCAAGTTTCATCACTCAGATCTTTCTATCACTGATCCTCCTTGATAAGAGTATGCATGCATTATTTGATGTTAATTCAACTACAGAGGGGACTTAATGATTGCTTAAATTGGGTAGGGAAAAAAGTAGATATATCGATATCACTATCAGTTATCAGTCAAATGAGTTGTTACCTATCGGCATATCGGATATCGGCAAAAAAATCCAATATCGTGCATCCCTAATCTGTTCCTAGATAGCACAATGAACCTGCTGAAATCCCGCTATAACAAAGGCTTGCATGGCTGTTTGTTGTCTCCACCATTGGAGCTTATGAACTTTTCAATGCTCAGATCGACAAAGATTTCAGAGGACTACAAAACAACAGAGGGGGGAAACCCTGTGCCTGGTCTGTCCTCCCTCCCAAAGTGATGGATCCGGAGCTGTAGAGTACAGTAGCTCAACAAAGCAGCTTTGTCATCATGATCCCAGAGAGCTTCAGGGAGGATCTATGGACCCTCGTTCTCACAGCCAAGGCACAACTGCAAACAAGGGCGCAGATTTCGCTTCAGCGTTGGGGTGGACACATATGACATTGGGGAGGTTGGGGGTTCTCCTCCAGGAAATATATCGCAACAAATACCAAAGTTCCTGCATTCTGGTGAAGTTTCATGCACCAATTTGTGCCTTTCCTGCATCAATTTCAGGTGGGAATGTTGTTCATTGTGAGGGACAGATGCATATGTTCTAAATATTGATGGGGATGTGTACTCTACACCCCTCTCCCCTGAGAATCTACGCCTACGGCTACAGATACTGTTATTATTTACCTCTGTGTCTCTTCCACTGGTCTAGAAAGTTGTCTGTCACACATACAACTGATCCAAAATACATACAAAAGCACATGTGCGGGCATGTACAATCAAACAAAAATTACACAGACATGTTTTACACACCTGCACATGCAAACACAGACGCACTGGTCAATTATAAAGTGGCACAGGTGCAGCAAAGCCCTGCGAACACAGCACCAATCCTGGCAGCGTGGCAGTGCCAGCGTCTTTAGCACTCCTCCTTTTCTCTTTTCTACACCAGCCACGTCTTTTACTTCTTCCTTGCTTCCTTCCCTGTACCACCAACCCCCCCTCCCCTCCCCTCCATCCCTCCCGTTCCTTTATCCTGAGCGCCTGGCATATTCAGATACTGAAGTCCTCATTACGGCTCAATCCAACCTCAGCAAACACACAAACAGATTAGCCGCTTAAGACGCTCCCAATCCCCCTCTCCCTCGCTACTCTGCTGTGCTATCAGGCCCCAGCACACCCCTGTGAGATGAGCCAGGGGCAAGGCTTACTGCAAACTGCAGCCTCCACTCGCTCCTCCACCAAATCCCTCTGCGTCACAGCCCCGTGTCACAGCTGCCCCTAATACAATTAAAAGTCATTTGCAGAACGCACAGGCTTAGAGGATCACGGTGTGGGTGGGGGGTTAAATTGGGGAGGGGGAGGGAGGAAAGAGAGAGTTTGGAGCATTAATTCCAGCCAAAAAATATTTGAGGAAACAGTGGAAAAAAGCGCCCACACACTTCATGGCTGCAATCACCCAGTTTATCTTCAGTGTTTCTGGAGTTCAATCGCTCGACAGAAGTTGAGCATAGTCGAGATTAACTGGTTACGGCGCCACTGGGTCAGAGTGTGCGCGTGTAAAGTGGTAAACGATACACAAATGAAAACAAAAAGCAACAATCATTCAAAAGAGAGGATTAGTGAAATAATTATTCCTTTACTCTCAACCCTGCTTTATAGTCCTGTGCATCGCCCGCAGCTGCACAGAGAACAGTTCAGCTCCTGGTACCTGTTGATAGGCAGAACATTAAGGAGCAGCAACAATGCTTAGAAGAGAAAAAACTGGCTCTGTATCCCGGGTCTAAGTCTAGTCTAGTCTCTAGAGAAGATGGTGGGGATTAAGTGAATGATCGTCTTGGAATTTATTGGAGGCTTTATTTGGTAAAAGCTTTAAATCACAGGGGTATTCTCACCGTGCCTCCTTTGATGTGTCCAGGCCACCAGGCAATGGCTGGCTCCCTCATGCCCCCTTCAAAGGTGGTCTGCTTCCCGCAGAGGAACGGCCCGTTGCTCCCGCCTGAGGAATCAGAAGCACGGGTATGCATCCATGTATCAAATCACACACATATACAGGACAGACAATGTGTCTGGGACAAAAATGAACCGACTCGGTTTCACAGAGGAATAACTGTGTGTGTGTATATGTGCATTTGAGTTCAGTGCCTACTTTCATTTGGGCTGGATACCAGAGCAGCTCCATTGTCTGAGGTGAAGAAGACAAAGGTGTTGTTTTCGATGCCCAGACTCTGCAGCAATGACAAGATCTGACCGACACTGTAGTCCAGCTCCATCACTGCATCACCATACCTACAGACAACCATAGCTTTAATCATTCCCCATGAGAAATACATTCACTTATTACCTTATGCATCTGATGGACAGTAAAAGAGTCAGCAAGGTAGGATATAATGTACCGGCCTCGCTGGCTCCTCCCTAGGAAGTGTTTGGAGGCATAGACAGGCGCGTGAGTGGCGTCAGCTGCCCAGTAGAGGAAGAAGGGCTGCTGGGCCACAGTCTGGCGACGTATAAAGTCAAGCCCTTCCTGTAGAGGTGGGAGGTGTGATACAACACTGTCAGTGCAGATGTCAAATGACTTAGTGTAGCTTGATTCACAGTACTGCTGTCAGACAGTATAAAAAATGACTCTTTCTCACTGCATTTTCCAAACAATCCTCCACATTAATAACAACACGACTGAAACCAGTCTAACTCCATAAGACACGCTAATATGAGCTTTACAAAGCTCTACTTGACAGATGCATCTTCTTCTTGTGATGACAAAGTACACCTCTCAAGCATGCAGTGTGTCTCTGTGTGCTGCTTTTGATCCCCTTAGGAAGTGAATGGGAGGGACTGACGTAGACAGCAGAGATAATCAAGACGAGCGTGCACAAAAGTCAACAATCCACTTCTGCTGGTGAAAAGCACGGTAATGATCAAAGGCCAAAATCAGGCTTTAATTGTGCTTTTAATTTGTTAAATAGATGATTTATGTTTTTGTGCTTTTATATTTTGGTGAGTCAAACCTGATTTTCCACTCTGGTGGACAATAAAGTTGTACTCTATTTCATATTCTAGGGAGTACCTGACACACTCTGCTCCTCTTAAAGTGTTGTATCATCTGAGACAGACTCCGAAAGGACAGGTGGGCCTGAACTTACCTTCAAGTACATCTGTGTTAGGTTGGACTCTCCCGTCTTCCTGTCAATCTTAAACTCCTCATAGTATCTGAAAAACAAGTGGGTTGACATGATTCAATAAATAAACCTTCATTATTAGTTAACCATCATCCCATCTGAATACCTGCCGAGGCCACACTGTGCCATTCCTCCTCTGCTTATCCAACCGCATAAAATGACTCTTTCACAACGACCTGATTGTTTTGTCAGGGCTTTCAATCTGCCTCTAAATTGACCGAAACTATCTCAGACAATATCATTAAGACAACGGAGGCAAATTTCCCTCTTGCGGACTGTGTTTGCAGGAGATTTCGGTGAAAGACATATTTGGGAAGTCTCAGCAGAGCTGAGCAGAGGGAACTGTTATGAGGTGTTGCTGAAGCGTAGCGCGGCGAGCAGAGAAGCAGTGACAGGCATCTCTCTTTCTTACGCTTCACTTCCTCCAGGTGTCCTCGCACACAGCCAGCGCAACCTGCCGTCTCTTGAGGGCGTGTGTGTCTGTGTGCATGTGTGTCTATGTGTGTGTGTGCGTGCGTATGTCTGTCCAGGGCCCAGGTATGCAGCGCTGATTAAACCCACGGCTAAGCGAAAAACACGCCCGGCTGCCAGTTCCAATGACCCTGAATACACATATGGCTGTTTTGGGGAAAACAAATGGGCGGAAAATGGAATACACAAGCACAGCTGGTACAGAGAAGGAAGAGGAGGGGAGACACTCAACTCATCCAGAGAAGCAGCCAGCCAAACCATTCCACTGAGTCACGGGGGAAAGAAGATTTTTATAGATTTTCAACATCTGTATCTGTCTGCTGTTATGTATATCTGAGTGCCCGTGTGTGATACTACCTGCCAAGCATCTCAGAGTTGTTGTAGACGGGGATGTTAGGTCTGAAGCTGCTGTTGTAAGGGCCAAAGTGGCAGTCTGGTGCACCAAACCATTCATCAAAACCTTTCTCCAGAGGCAGGTACTGCGGTCTGTGGCCCAGATGCCTTTAGTGACAAACAAAGTGCACTCACACACTGACAGATTAAGATGACTGAAGGAGCATTCTGTGCATTTAAATGTAGACCACTACTGCAGATCAAACAAACCTGTGCTACTAAAAATCATTTTCAAAAGCACAACATACTTATTTTGATGTCTGATTGCAGTTACTACATTTAGGCTCTCATTGATTTCCATTTACTTCACAACAGTTTCTATTTATCAACCCAATCTATCACATTAAAGTTGTGCGTTTGGTGGTAATATTGTGAAGATCTTTTAAAGGTGCAGTGTGTAAGATTTAGGGGAATATATTGTCAGAAATGGAATATAATAAGTATGTACATAGGGAGTGTGTCCCCGTGCATTGAGTCTGCCATGTTTCTACAGTGGCCCAGAAAGGACAAACCAAACACTGGCTCTAGATAGAGCAATCCACTGTTTCGTATTGGCCATTGTGATTAGCAGCCCCTCTGCGAAGAGAGCGTATGAAAAACACTGACTTTTCAACATCAAACTGCTTTATTGAGTATTTGTAGTGGTTCCTGAATGTCTGGGGCTGGTTGCATAAAGAACTTTAAGGCAATATTTTCTTTTAATTTCAAATTAAGGATTCCTTTCAATAAAATCGCTTGCACAAAACATCCTTGAGTCTTCTCCTTCAGGTTTCCTTAAGTTTTTCTCCATATCTTGGTCTTAAACTTAAGGAATTGCTTAAAGTTCGTTAAACTGTTGCACAGACCTTAGCAACCAAAGTAAAGAAAAAAGCACAAGATACCTCTGACTGCATCTTTACCGCAACATGGATGAGTTTATGGTGCTTTGTGCAACCAACCCCTGGATCTTAAGTTACCACAGGTATATCCACAAGGTGTGTCATGAATGCTGCCTAAGGGTGGAAGAGAGACGCATGGAGGTAATGAGCACCTGCAACTGCAGATCCCACTGGTGCTGCACGGTAAACTGTGATGATTGCTCTCAGGTTATGGTCAAACGTGTGCACCAGGAGGGAAGGTGCTGATGGGCATGGCTTTAGACAGAGATAATGTGGCCCCAAGTGAAAAAAAAAAAATATAGATCCTTTACATGTCTATGTCACAGTAAAGTCTGTTAATTAAGGGCCAATATTAATATGTTAAATGTTTGTTTGCACTTTCCATGTCTCTTTGTATAAATACTTGAGTGTCTGTTGATGAATTTGGGGTTTTGTTTGATTAAAATAAAAGAGAAAAAAGATCACATTAGCAAGTGCTGGCCTAGTGGCCCGTCTCCGTCATGTCAAACAGTGTTGGAGAAACACAAATTTCTAACATAAAACTGTTTAATTCAGTGTTTTCACAAGTTAATATCACCAGGTTTGTTTGTTTTGGAGAGGAAGAGACCTCCGCGGATGATTCAGGGCCCTGTAAAAGCTTCCTGAACAGTGAACACTGAAGGAATTCTAACAGGAAGAATTTTCAGCTGGTTGCAATCTGCAATCCTTACCACTAGATGCCACTAAATCTTACACACTTAACCTTTAAAATAAGTAATCATGGCTTGGGACATTACAACAGAGCAACAAAGGGAAGATTTTAGTACCACACAGAAATGGATGCACATCAACGGATGTCTCAGGGATAGGAAAAATACATTAAAACATTTACTATAAAATGACTGTATACTGTGGAAAATAATCATCAGTAAGTTAAGTAATAAACTGGTTAAAACATGCAAACAAACTTTAATTCATGGAATCAATTCCACAGATGTCAATCACAGCCACCACAGCCTGTCGACATCAACATAACCTCTAAAACTTCAGAAACCACTAAAAACCTGGATTACAGAAAGATAAAGAGCTCACCACTTGCCAACTATCTTGCTGACGTAGCCCTTTTTCTTCAGCATCTGGGGTATTAAAATCTCATCCTCAGAGATTCCTCCCACTATCTCCTGTGGTGTGTATGCTGTAAAAAAGGGTCAAAATTTAGTGTACAGAACTTTCCAGGACTTTATTGCAAACTGTACATTATGGACGAAGTAATGAGAAAACCTGCAAGAAATTATTTGCAGCTGGATAAATTGCACAGTAAGGATATACTGAGAGTGTACCGTTCCTGGCGTGGCCATTTGTGGTATAGAAACCGTTCCTGACAGGGAGCCTCCCGCTGAGAAGTGCGGCCCTGGCTGTCATTAAAATGACAGAAAAAAAAAATCATTAAGATTTCTGAATGGTGGTCCTTCAAATGCTTTTTTACTGGCAAACACATTTGTTTTCTGTAAATACCAAGACCAATATCCCTTTCTACACCCAACTGCTATTTATGGCTGTGATTCAACTGAATTATGGACTCTAATCACTGCTGTCAGGTGAAACTCTGTACCTTCACATTTCAATTCAACAAGAAGAAAAGCAGCTTTTCAGCTTGACTGCCTGGTATTTCTAAAGTTCATCCACAAGGGTTGTGTAACTTTTCATGAACAAAATGCTCACAAACTTTATTCTGAATCCAAAGCATTTTACATGTATATACACCTTCAATTAAGTTTACCTAAAAAATATCACAATTACCAACATAGAGTTAAAAGGTTTCTTACAACAGTGACGTAACAATTCCTGCTTTCCTGCACAGAATCACTGTGAGGGAGCATCACCCCATCTAACTCATTCATTCATTCATTTTCCGTAACCGCTTATCCTGTTAGGGGTCGCTGGGGGAGCCTATCCCAGCTGACGTTGGGCAAGAGCCAGGTACACCCTGGACCAGTTGCCAGACTATTGCAGGGCTGACACATAGAGACAGACAACCATTCACGCTCATGTTCAGGCAATTTAGAGTCACCAATTAAGCTGCATGTCTTTGGACTGTGGGAGGAAGCTGGAGTACCTGGAAAAACCCACGCTGACACAGGGAGAACATGCAAACTCCACTAACTATTGTCTTTAAAAGCACTATAGTTAAAAGGCTAGGGTCTGGAGCAGTGGCTCCCTGTGGCTTTGACAGAAAATTAAATGGGAGATGAATAATCATTATTTTTTCAATATTTTCATTTTAATTTATTGTTGAAGGCCTACAGTGATTCTTACATCCTTCAACTATAAAAATGCGTAGCCTATACAGTACAGGCCAAAAGTTTGGACACACCTTCTCATTCAATGCGTTTTCTTTATTTTCATGACTATTTACATTGTAGATTCTCACTGAAGGCATCAAAACTATGAATGAACACATGTGGAGTTATGTACTTAACAAAAAAAGGTGAAATAACTGAAAACATGTTTTATATTCTAGTTTCTTCAAAATAGCTCATCGAGAGAATGCCAAGAGTGTGCAAAGCAGTAATCAGAGCAAAGGGTGGCTATTTTGAAGAAACTAGAATATAAAACATGTTTTCAGTTATTTCACCTTTTTTTGTTAAGTACATAACTCCACATGTGTTCATTCATAGTTTTGATGCCTTCAGTGAGAATCTACAATGTAAATAGTCATGAAAATAAAGAAAACGCATTGAATGAGAAGGTGTGTCCAAACTTTTGGCCTGTACTGTACATCGATGTAAAAAAATTATTTCACATTTCGCCAACTAAAATGTGTGTCATATGTCTGGTCTAGCGCCTTTTCCACTAAAAACATCACTAGCAATGGCCACAGTAGTCTTGAGTCTTCCTAGTTATGCTAACTGTGGATTCCAAATCCATCCATCCATCCATTTTTGTAACCCCTTATCTTCTTGAGGGTCGCAGGGGGCTGGAGCCTATCCCAGCTGACATTGGGCAAGAGACAGGGTACACCCTTGACAGGACGCCAGACTATCACAGGGCTGGCACATAGAGACAGACAACCATTCACACTCACATTCACACCTATGGCCAGAGTCACCAATTAACCTGCATGTCTTTGGACTGTGAGAGGAAGCCAGGGTACCTGGAGAAAACCCACACTGACACAGGGAGAATATGCAAACTCCACACAGAAGGACTGCCCCACCCTGGGTTTGAACTAGGAACCCTCTTGCTGTCAGGTGACAGTGCTAACCACTGCACCACCGTGCCTTGTTCAGTATATCTTCAGAAAAAAAAGAAAAAGAAAAAGAGCATACGTTCGAACTGCACATATGTGTATTTAGATACATTCATGTGGTTACATGTCGACATGCTCAAATAAAACACATTTGACAGACAAATTTGTTTGCTTTCATCAGCAATGCTACAAAGTTAAAGCACCAAATAATCAAAAATAGTGCACTGCAGAACAGCCACCTTGTGTTAAAACATAATAATGAATGCTCATTTAGATCTATTACTAATCTTGATAGGCTAAATTCAATTTAAAAGGCTGTATTACTTTTATTATGAGGCTCAAATATGTTTTGTGGCTCCAGACAGTTTTTATTTATTTATTTTTTGGGGCTAAAAATGGCTCTTGATAGGTCTATGGCCAAAAAAATTTGACCCCTCCCAAGTCCTCTCCCTCTCATGATACCAGAATAAGTATAAAAACTATTTATCCCTCTACCAGCGAATCTCCTAAACTAACGACAAAAGGAAGGTGTAAAAGGAGAGGCAGTGTTGCATGCATTTGAATGCACTTTATGTCTGTTTCTATGTGTGTATTTTGAAGTGGCAGCCTTTAAAGACAAATAAAGCAATCTTGAATCTTGACAATAAAAACACATGTATAGAAATAGAAAGCAGAAGCCTTGATGAGAGACAGAAAACAAGCTAATCTAACATCTTGTAAAACAGGAACTGCTGGTTCAGGTTCTATATTACAACACTGACAGTGACTCACAAGGGGAACAGAGTGGACTCGCAGTGTAGAAATTTGGAAGCAGCATCCCCTCAGCAGCCATGGCATCCAGGTTGGGGGTCTCTTTAGAGGGCTGGCCAAACACCCCCAAGTCCCCCCAACCCATCTGAAGAGCAGAGGGGAAAGAATGGAGAGTTAATACATACACATCACACCCAGAAAGGCAAAACACACAAAAATCATAGGGTAAAAACTTACGTCATCCATGAGCATTATGATGATGTTTGGAGTTGAAACATTTGTTGTCTTTTCTGTCAAGGAACAACATATCATTGCACAGAAGAGAGCAGGAGTTAAGGCAGACATGATTCGCATTGCTGTGCTGAAGTCATATGAGCATCAGCTTCGAGGAAGTGGTTTGTTTGCCTTCGTGCGAGAATTCAGCGCAGCGATTGCGCATACACAGAAAGAGTAATTATGTCGAGATGTTTTTGCCTGAATTAAATTAAGATTTTAGATTCATATCAGCCTAATTTATTTTTATTTTCTTGACTTATGAATGTGTGTGGTCGCGTTATGTTTCAGGATTAAATCGTTAAACTGTAAAAATCCGTCAAATGATTTCTTGGTAGTTGGTGCATTCAGGGACTTCTGACAAATTCGAAATCGGTCGCAACGAATCACAAAGAGAGGACCATGTTACAAAATAATTTTTTGGTAAACAACTTAAAACGTTAAAAATGACTTGCTCTAATAAGTTCATGTATAATACAGCTAAAATACGCGGTATGTGTGATATGTAAAAACCACGTACTGAAATCATGTTTCTGTTTGTGTTGCCATTTTTCCAACAAGATTTAAACGCAGCGTGCCACGTGACAGCATCTGACAGCTCAGAGGAGGAACACTAACATGGCGGTGTGCATAGCAGTTATCGCAAAAGAGGTAAAGATATCTGATGTTAAATGTCTCCGGTTTTATACGCAGCCTGTTTATTAATAATAAAATATTTTCCGTATTCTTATAATCGTATTTAAACAAAAGTCTGTCTCTGTAGGCCAGAAGGAGGTTAAAAGCAGGGTAAAACGCCCTAGCAGAGCTAACGTTAGAAAGCTAACAACATTAGCTTGTTTCAAATGGAGCTGCTGTTATAATTTGCTGCATTTAGGTTGACATTTAATGCGAGTAAAGCTTGTCATTGACTCATTATTGTGTGGCTGTACTCTTTAACTTCCTCTCCCAGAACTACCCGCTGTATATCCGCAGTGTGCCCACCCAAAATGAGCTGAAGTTTCACTACACAGTGCACACCTCCCTGGATGTGGTGGAGGAGAAGATCTCAGCTGTGGGCAAGTCTATAGGAGACCAGAGAGAGCTGTACCTGGGTCTGCTCTATCCTACTGAGGACTACAAAGTGTATCCTTGTTTTGTTGTGTTTGTTTGAAGACAACTGGTCTACGCGTAGACTTATCTTTTAATTAGATCATCAATCTTTGACAGGGTTTAGACTGTGATCTAAGTTTAATTATGTTTTTAACAAGATTGCCAACACATCTTTATTACACCTGAACAACTCAACTCCATATACACAACTCTACCAATCAGTAAGAATCCTTATAAATGCCCATATTAGACATGTAGACTATTGCAATTCTGATAGTGTTGTTGAATGGTGTGGCCAATGGCTGCATGTATGGGAATTGTTAAAAAATGTGCAGACTCCAGCCGTGTTCCAGTGCCAGAAGCTAAATATATTCTGGTCTGAAATCTTCAACACACTTAATACTCCATAGAACACTGCTATAGGGCTGCAACGATATTTTTACGGTACATAACCGTCTCAGAAAATATTGCGGTTTCACATTATCACTGTATTACTGAATTTATATTATTATCAGTAAGAATAACCCTTATTAAAGGAATGAAAACAGAGGGGTTATTGTGGGTTGAAAAAATGTTGTATTACTATATTTGAAACTTGAATCCATTTTCTTTAAGTATGTGTAAAAAGTCTACCCTTAGAAAATAACCAAAATAAAGGGGAGATTCTCTGTCCAGTAGATTTTTTTTTCAATTACATTAAAAAAGCAAATGTACACAATATGATAACGGTCAACTTTTATATCACGGTATACCTTGAAACCACCAGCATATCGCTGCAACCCTCCACCGCTTTTATATCTAGCCCTCTCTTAGCCTTGTTCAGAGTCCCTCTACAGCCCAAAACTTCAGAAGGCATGCAACATGTTCTCGCCTTTACCATCTTGTTGGCAAGGCGATTTTTTCTTCTTAAATGGAGGCATGTTCATCCTCCAACTCACAGTAGGTGGGTGAAAGATGTTTAACTTTCCATTAGACTGGAAAAAAAACTCATTCTCTTTTAAGGGTTTCCTAAATTCTTTTTGAAAGACTTTGAAACCCCTTCTAAACCATGTTGAATCCCTGACCTCCTTGTCTGGTGATGACTGAGCTTTCTCGTTTCTTTTGTTTCTTTGTCTTGTTATGATTGTTGCTGTTAGTGTGATATCGGTTATTGCTTTATCTGTTACTGTCTTACTTTTGGGGGTGGGGGATAAGGGGAGAAAATTGGTGAATGCTTTGTATGTTCTTCCAAAAAAAAAAAAAAAAAAAGTGCTGTGAAATAAAATGGTATCGCAGTCAGTGGACCTAGAATCCCTCCACATATTGATATTGGGCTTTATAAATAAAATTGATTGATTGATTGAAATTGACATACTCTAAATAGTCTCTAACAGGGGGAAGTGAATATCCTTAACTGGTGAACTAGATATGGGTATGTAACCAACTCCAAGGTGAAGTTTGTGATCGTCGTGGACTCTTCAAATACGTCATTGCGGGACAATGAAATTAGAAGTGTAAGTTCAGCATAAGGTGTTGCTATTGCATGTCTATTAACACAACCTAACGAGCATAATTCTCCAAAAGCCACATTCCTATTGTTTAATACCCATCCACAAACTTTGCTCTGTCTGTCAGCATGGTGATTCAGTCATGGATATATGACCCCAATGTCCAATTTGTGATGTCAATTTGTTTGAGTTTAAAAAAGTGACTTGTAACTCTCTTTTCCAGATGTTCAGAAAATTACACAACTCTTTTACCGATGTAATGTGCAACCCATTCCACAATCCCGGGGACACCATTCAGTCAAAGTGAGTTTATTCTTGACTTGATATTCAGAAAGTTTTGTATCATTGATATTTTCCTAATCTAGCAATGTTTAATTGTCGACCAATCACTCTCCAGGGCCTTCGATGGCATTGTATCTGGAATGATGGTGCAAACTGGCTGAGGTCCCTTTCGTCCCAGCTGAGCCTCCACTGTACAGAACACCCCTTATCCTTTTTTTTTTTGTTTACATGTTGCCTTGATTATTGAAATGTATAAGTAATAAAACTTGACTGTTGTTGCACACGTCACTGCATGTGTGTCATTTCATTACAAATGGAGCACCGGATCATTGTTTTATTTATTCACTTACATAGCAAAGAACTTATAAGTTGTACATAGGGAGGATTTGTACATTACATTGCAGGCAGCAACACAATACATTCGCATCAGTTTGTAAAAACAGTAAGAGACGAAACTGCATAACAATTTGAGGATTGTCCCATGCATTCACAGCAACATAAGCTTATAATGCAACACCCCTGACCTCAGTCTTCATTCTTCACATCTCTTGAAGCACTGCTGCAGGGATGCAATTTAGAAAGTCATCTCTTCTGTCCATCCTGGTTCTCTCACATGATACTCAATCAGTAATGCCTGGAAACACTTCTTTAAAATTAACAGTTCTAGTCACCCACTTGAGTGGTGTGTATGCTGTGGGTGGTGCTAGCGCTGTTGAGGGTAGTGCTGTCCACTCGATCCCGCGCCCAACTCCTCTGAAGGCGGGGTGATGAGAAGAAGACATGGGTAACGTTTAGGCATCTGTTCGTGGTAGTCCATGTGTCCCCACTGTCTCTTCCCCACTGAAGGGCCGCCGTAGTAAGGGTGGGGTGTTTGATGTTGCGGCCTGGTGGACTGGTACCGGAACCTACCTCGAGAGCTGTTATGGTAGCGGGGTGGACGGTAACCACGGCCTCTGCCTCGGGTGTGGCCACCTCGGTGTCCTCCCCTGTCTGTGGTGCTGATTCCTGGCATGTTGGTCCTCTTGGGCAAAACCTGCAAGCCAAAGAACACTGGGATTGAATCAGCTGTCAAGTATGATTAACTACATTCACATGCACACAAATATTCCACTATTATTCTGAATGTCACATAAAGAGGAAATTTCATTTAGATGTTCCAAATTAGGCCTTTTTAACGAATTAAGTGTTTCCCCGATTTTGACGTGGGATATCCTGGTATTTGGGTTTTAGGAGCAGTCTATCAACAAGTATACGGCACATTCATAATATGCATCTTATTTGAGGTTTTCACCGCAGTTTGCGACACAAGGCCTTGTTGCGGATGCACTTTACACAAACCAACTAGCCACTAGTTTGCAGACTGGTGCAGAGATGCATGCCCAGAAGAAAAGACCACGTTGCTGGTCAGAAGAAGAAACACACCTACATTTAACCATTATGAGAGACTGAATATTAACAGTTTTTTTGTGCAAATACCGCAGTGGCGACCTTTTTAAGAAGGAGGTTGAAATAATGAAAGATGGAGACTGTGTTCGCATGATCAAAACAAGTCCGCCATCAATGGAAAACTTTGGAAAAATGGCTAAGAGGCTCCAGCCGTTCTACTTTTCCATATTTTGATGTGATAAACATCATGTTAGGGCACATTAACTGGAGTATACATGGCTGCATTTAAATGGGAATATTAGTGGAATATTCATTTTCATTAGACATGTCAACTGCTTAGTAGGAATACTGTCTTTCTGAATCATTTTTTGTGCATGTAAATTTAGTCATTGATTGTTTGCCGTGTTTGCTATTCAACAGTAACAGAACAGATAAACCTAAATCGTAAAAAAAAAAAGTCTTGATGCATAGAAACATAGGTGCAATTTATTCTCATTGAAGCAACCAGCTCAACATGAGGAAAATGAAAATGGGTGCTATGACTGTTATAATTTCCTTATTTAAAGTAAACCAAAGGGGAAATTAAGCCTACCCCAGATAACACGACCTTTTGTGTGTGTTTCTACTTCCACCAAACAGTGAGTAAGGTTACAGTATCTCTAGTCACAGTACCAAATGGTATTTCTCAATTTGACAGGAGTGATAATGATGAATCATGACAAGAGGAAGTGTCAATTGCATGTGCATCACTTGAGCTCTACTATCAAAATGTCAGTTTAAAAACACATCTGACCAAACCAAACACGTACAGTACCTGACATGTGCAATCACTGAGCTTCAAACTAGTTTGAGGTTTTTGCTACAGACCAACATGTGGTATAATGCTTCTCACCTTAAGGACTCTTCCTCTGAACAAAGTCTCATGCAGACCAATAGCACTCTGCACAGAGTCTCGATCAGAGAATTCAATGTAAGCAAAGCTGTGAAAGAGGAAGGAAAAAAAGACAGACACAACAAATAAACTTGGATGCCGGCATGTTTAAGAGTTGTATTCTACAGTCAAACAGTGTCAGGTCGTATAAATTACATGCACAGGTTGAACCCACCCCTTGGGATGCCCGGAGAACCTGTCACACAGGATGGTAACTCGGTTGACAGGACCACAGCCATTGAAATGGATCTCCAGCTCATCTGCAGTAGCTCCATAGTCTACCTAGGATTTGTTGAACAGTGTGTCAGATCAGGGGTGCGAAAAATACGTGCTCAGTGTGTGTGGGGGAAAAAAAAAAAAAAAAAAATCAGATACGAGTCTTACATTTCCTACGTAGACTGATCTGTTGTCTGCGTCTATCCTCTCCTCAGGAGTCATGTTGTAGAAAGGACCTGTGGAAGAAACAAAAACTGTATACACTGCTTTTGTGCGTGCAATATGAAGGAGGTCACTCCAGGTGAACTGAAGATTATTTCAACAACATATCACTTGCATCATCTCTGATGATATATATCTCTCAGATCTGGATCCCCTCTGATTGCATCTCTGTTCTCCAGAGGAACCAAAAGGGAGGGTGAAAAGCATGAGGAGACGCACAGAGGCAGAAAATAGCCACAGGCAGCAAGGAGGACCCTTCTGGTTCTCTGGAGCTCACTGCTTCGTCTCATTGGGCAGTGATGAGGCACATGTGAACACTGTTGTGACCACAGTGAAGCATCCCAGGTGTTAGCCAGATGGTGAAGGATGCAGCTACCTCACCTGCCTTGGGGGCTGCGATGCTACACACACCTGGCTAAAAATGCGCTGTCGAGGCTTCCCAAATGCATAATCAGTATTTAGCTGTACACAAATGTGACACAGTAACAAACCATGGGGCGGATAAGACGCACGGGATGTCTCACCAGGCCGGGGGCTGCTGGTCAGGAGCTGCATGTCCACCGCGTCACACCTGTCTTCCTCCTCTTTCAGTCTCTCCGTCTCTTCTTCCATCTCCAGCTCCTGAACTCTGGCCTTGATGGCCGCCAGCTCCTGAGACACAAGCACGGAAACCAGAGCATGAACTCACTGTGGAGTTAAGCAAAGTACTACACTGCAAAACAGACTGGTGACAAATAAAGCCTGCATAAATGAGGGAAGAAACATGGTATGATTATAAATGATAGTTCAGACTTTTTGAAGTGGGGTTGTATGAGGCACTTATCTACAGACAGTATGTTGGTCAGCACAAAGCAAAGCCATGAAAGTCTTGACAGGGGGCAGCAACAAAATGTATTTTAGCCACCTAAAAATAATATCAATCAGTTTAAGTGTGTGCTTTATTGACAGGAATTTTCACTACTTTACCTTGCTGTCAGACAGTAATTTCCAACGGGAAAATGAAGCCGTTATATCACTCTCTTTAAAGCCAGACTTTGAGAAAAAACAGGGATTTAACACTGATGAACACAGAAGCTGCGCCTCTACCGGCTGCCTCAAACAGTTGTTACTGTACGACTTTGGTGTTAAAACAGTTTAGCTCAGATTCACCAGAGTCACACAACAACACTAACTAACTGATGAAAGCAGCAGCAGATCAGCAGCTCCCTTGTTCAGTGAGCTAAAATTACTGTTTTTGTCATTGGAGTTCGGTGGCGTGAGGGAAGCTTAGATGAGTAACTGAAGCAGCTTGCAGCTTCCCTGTTGGAACAGGCTGTGTGACAGTGACGTAAAGCAGTTAAAGTATTCTAAATATAGCGTACACTTAAACTGATTTTTTTTTTTTTTTTTTTTTTAGGTGACTTAAATCAATTTCATTGTTGACCCTTGTCCATGGCAGTGCGTTGCTTCGCTTCCGTGACTCCAGCCTGCTTCTCCAAACTGGTGGCGTGCCGACTAACATGTACTGTAGACAGGTGGTTTTCAAACTTTTTGGCCAAGCTAAAACCTTGAGGCACACCTGTATTTATATCAGTGCACAATAGCTTCTATGCTATGTGGTATCACACTTATGACATAAGACAATAAAGATACGAAAAAATGAGAAAAGGTAGCTTTCATGATACTGTTTGACAGTTTTTTTTTCTCTTTTCTTTCGATGGTAGGTCATCTTTGCTGGTGTTTTGTTGTAATTTGCTCCATATGATAAAGCGATCCACTGTCCCACTCACGGCTTTCTCCTTTTAAATGTTATCATCCCTCACACTGGGTGCCAATCAGGGCTTTTGATGTCACACACTTAAACACACTTTTTTTTTTTAAATTAAATTAATTTTTTTAGCTAGCATTTGCTTCCTTATTAGGAAATGGGTGCATACAACAAATTAATTCATAACTTTGTATAGGCCCAGCTGAATATTGCAATAATAATGTGTGGTTATTACAAATTCCCACGGCACACAAGTGTCCACAATGTCTGTGTGTCTTGCTCCTGTGCAGGAGAGGTGGTGGGGCCCTTTGCATATCTGTGCCCAGGGACCCTTTGTCTCACAATCCACCCATACAGGTTTTTCTTTTAATTTTTTATCTGTATTAGATGGGAGACAGACTGAACCTGTATACTGTCTTTATAATCAGCTGCATTAGAAAGAAACTTAACATATACACATGCTTAACATATTGGTTTGATACCTGAAAATGAATTAACCATAATCAGCATTTACTTACTAACAAAAATGTCTGTGTAAATACACATATTGTGAACGCATCACATGAAGGGAATTCAGTATACTAGATATAGTTTATCATGCAGCTGGCCTGAGGTTTCAATGCAATGTCCAAACGTATAGTGGCTGACCCAATATACAACCACACTATGTGTAACACTTGAACTAGGACATGCAGTGCACCTGATTGGCTCCATGCTGAACAAGTCACTCAGCATGTTTTCAGGGATGTGGCTCACTGATGTCGGTCTTTATGCACATTATTAATATATATATCGGTGATCTAACGACACCACATAGCATAGCTGATGCTTGCGCTGCTTTGTCCAACGTGCCAACCCTGCTTTGCTCGCCCTACTGTACGTGCGTAGGCTACAAACAAACGTGACGGCACCCTCTTTCATTCACTTTAAACGATGATACCCACCGGGTCCTCGGCGAAATGCTCTCCGATGGACTCGCCCTCCAGGTAGCCGTACTCCAGATGATTTTCCGCCATGCTCACTGCTCAAACATGGCATCTGCAAAGCCGAGCGCAGCTTGCCAAAAACCGCCACAGCAAAAATATCTCCCACGGGAAGGCAAACGGGGTGATGGTCCGGGGACGCGACACCTGACAGCATATGAGGTACGCTAATAGATATCACCTGTGAATGAGACTCATGACGCGCTGGATTGATTGACAGAGGCGCGCACGTGAGAGGGACGCTGGATGTGTCTTGCTTCCATTGGCGCATCAACAAGGGGCCCTCCCCTCCTCTGCCCCTGGTACCCATCCCTCTCCCCACCTCATCCCTGTGATTTACAGCTGGGAGAATTACAGCTACAGTAGTACATGGCAAGATCTCCATTTAAGGTGGATTAAATGGTCTAATTTTTCACATTAAAAGTAAATTTCTTCAATAAATTTGGTGGTATTAATGGGGTTTGGTATATTTGGTAGTTCAGATTTTTCTAAGTGGGGTTTTATGAGGCTACTTATCCATAGTCAGAGTTTTAAAGCAGTGGTTCTCAAATAGTGCCCTGATTTTGTGATAACCACACATTATTAATATTGCAATATTCAACTGGGCCTGTACAAAGTTATGAGTGAATTTTTAATTGACTGCATCAGTATGTTGTGTGCACCCATTTCCTAATAAAGAGGCAAACTCCAGCTAAAAAATGTAATTTAATTTCATTTAATTAAAGAAAAATAACTTCGCGGGGAACCTATTTGTCACCATTGACGCATGGGAGTTATAAGTGTGTGACACATCACAAGCCCTGATTGGCAGCCAATGTGAGGGATGATGATATTTAAATTTAAAAGGAGACTGACGTTAGTGGGACAATGCATCGCTTTATTGTACAGAGCAGTCACAACAAGGCACCAGCGAAGACAACCTACCGAAAGGAAAGAGAGGAAAGAGAAAAGACAGTAGACAGTATCACAAAAGTTACCTTTCTTATTTTTCATATTTTTATTGTCATATGTCATGATAAGGGTAAGGACACATTAGCCTTGAGATTTGGGTTTGCTCGTTGGAAAACCACTCTTTTAAAGGTTAGTTGGATTCACTAAATTCACTCAATTTCACAAACTAACCGATCAAGGCAGCAGCAGACATGCAACTCCTGTGTTCAGCAAGATAAAATTACTACTTCTGTCAATGGAGTCTGGCTTTGAAAAGAGCACAGATAACGACCTCAGTTCCACATCGGAAAGATCTGTCTAGTGGCAAGAAAAAATATTCTAAATATAGTGCAAACTTAAACTGATATTGATGATTTTATGTGGCGTAAATACGTTTTGCTGCTGCCCCCATCCACAGCAGTACATTGCTTAGTTTCCGGGCTGGTACTGCTGCCTGCTTTTCCAAACTGGGGGTGTGCCGACTGCCAGACCACAGCAATCACAGTTCAGTTACAAATCAAACAGTTATGTTCTTCAGTTATCTTCATAATGGACAGATAAAAAAAAAACAAATGTCAAGAGGCTCGTCAGCTTGGACAGTCTTGTGCTGACTCTGAGGAGGAGCAGGTTGTCTGACTAACGATTTGAAGATTTCCTACTTACAAGGTATTACCACTCGTGAAAAACACTTAATATGAGCTGGGCTAGTCTGCTTTAAAGCCATGGTTTTGTGAACAACTCAAGTGAAATTGTTTGAGTGTGTTTTTCCTTTTAAGTCTGTCATCATATAACCGTTCCAGGAAGGCTAGTCTGTTATATTGTTTTATTCAGACCTATTAATATATTTTTTGAAGGCCAACCTCTTTTATATATTGATATAGTTTCATTTTGAGGCAGTCATAACCAGTGTTGTCTTGATTGTCCTGCCTTGTTTTGTGCTGACATTGAGGCATATGTACGGTTTAACTTGCAAAAGTGTGACAATGCCCCTGAGATGAGGTTCCGGAGTAACCCAAACATACTGTAACAATTAGTGTAGCCTGACATATTACTGTCTACAGGGAGGACTCAAGGAAAGCAACACATTACTCTTTTAAAAGTAACAAGTAAGGCATGTTTAGCAACAAACTCAACACTGACAGTAGGTAATACACTGACTATGGATAAATACCTCATATAACCTCACTTCAATATATCTAAACTGTCTTTTTAAGGAATGCTGCAAAACTATTACGTTTGCATTTTTCATTTAAGGCACCTGAAAGGGTGGATAATAGGCTTTTTCATGGCGGACATTCTGACTTGTTATAGCAGGAAAAGTTACAAGTAACATTAATGATGAATCTGTTTAATTCAATTGTCCCGGTAAGTCATGACAGTGTGACTTTGAGCCGGTATGCACAGTGCCAGGATGCTAAAATTTAAGCAGCTAAATGGAACTCTCCCTTTATTTATTTTATTGTTTACACCCATGCTTTGCTGTGACATGCTACAACTACAACTACAAATGTTCTGATGTTACGCTGCTGGACAAATGTTTATAATATGAAAAAATTCAAAGTATTCCTTTCTGTCTGACAGTCTCTCATATATTTAGTTGTCGTAACTCTTCACTGAAGCTATATAATGTGTATACTAAGTGAACTGTCACTCACTGTAACAGTTTTACGACTGCACCATGCCATTAATCTCGTCGAGACGTCTAGAATATTTCATTTTAGACATCTTGTGCATTTTCTACATACACTTCCAAATTCAGTCAGACGTATTTGGCATCAATGGAAACTTTAGGATTTTAGAATTAAAGATAACAGTCTATAAACAATGTTTTGCTGCTCAGCATGAGTCTGTACTGACTGACTCATCGGGCAGGTTAAAGAACCAGGCCAAAATGTTCAATAAATGAAATTAGATTGAAGCTGTGTGAGCTTGTTCAAGATGTGTATGAATATATGTCTGTAAGAGTCTTTCAAACTGTAACTGTAACTGCTATCATATTTCTGTAGACAAGAGGGAATGCAATCATATGCCTTCTGAAGTTTACATAATAACTTTGTGTTAGCAGTGATTCAATAACAATGGATCATTTTCCCTTTCTGGGGGATGTAGTCTCAGAATGTGCCTGCACTTAAAGAAGAAAAGCAATGAGAGTGATGAATACTTCATTTCATGTTTTAATTACACAGTTACATTGTTCAACACAGACAATAACCTGAATTAGAATGTTTTACAGCTTCACACATCCAACAGAGCGAACAGTTAAAGAGCGGTATTAGCAACAGGAAGGAAAGCATGCAAGAAATAAATACAAATCAGAATTTAATTCTTCTGGCACAGTTAACTTCATCTAAAAACGGCAACAGGACCTTTTTGAAGAGGGAAATAAAACAAAAGGAGAAAGATCTTCAAAGCGCCAACCTTTCCTACAGAAACATGTTTTTTTCTGTAATAATGTATTGCACAATACAGTATAGAATGCTTCCCTACACATAAAAAAAAAAAAAAAAACCATAAACCTTTTTTTTTTTTTTTTTCAATTTATGTAAAGGTAAAAACAGGACCATCCTGAGCCGTGGCTTTGGGGGAAACAAGTGCTGTATCCACTGTTTGCCACTTTAGCTTTCTACTGTAGCTATTCATCAGTGCCTGTTTCACAGGAAGGACGTGTCACCATCACATCAGATGAGCCTTGAAACTTCATTGGTAGAGTTACTGGTTGGGGGGGGGAGGGAGAAACAAATGCCAACCTGCTAATATTTGCCTTTTCTAAACATGCGTTTTGCCCGTTATCATGTACATAGTTAAACAAACAGAAAAGTGGCTGATGTAAAGTGTTCGGAGACCCTTGGATGATATTCACAACAGCAGAGCCCTTATGCGTTTGCCATCTATTAATATCTTCACAGAGAAAAGTGTACGACACCTCGGCATGAATCTCATTTGTTTCATGACTTAATGAAGCTTGCGCCCGGCTGGACACAACATTGATCTGATCTTTTGTGTCCTGTCCAATAAAATCAGGAGGGAGAATCTCAGTGAAGGACAGTTTGCTCTTTCCTCTACAGCTCCACACAATCAACCACAGTGAAGTTCTCTAATGCTGGGACGTAACACAAAAACCTCAACCAAAGTGTGAAAAGAAAAGTTGTAGCTTTTGGTTGTATTTTGGTCATTTATAAGTGGTCTACTGGGTTTGGCTTTGTTTAGTTTATCTGAGGGCTTACCTGCAGACACGGAGGCACACGTAAAGCTTGTACGAGTTGAATGGAACTGTCATTAAAATGTTGTCTGTGATGCAGGTACGTTTATTTTACTGCACAAAGCTGTTGCTACATATTGTGAATCTATCTGCCACTATAGTCTGTCTAGGATGTTTCATTAAAGCTCTGAAGGTTTCAAGTAGTTTGTACAGAGACACGAAGACAAAGGTAAGATTTTTTTTTTCTACAAAAACAGGCACACCGCCAGTAACGCACACACACACAAACACACACACACCAACCATGCATTCACTTTATCTCTGCAAGGCTTTGTAACTGTAAGAACACACAATCAGTAGGCTTTTCCGAAGGAGATGCTTCTATTATTTTTACAGAAGCACTATTCAACATGTAGACAACAAGCGCTTTGATTGCTTGAATAAGAATTCTACACATTTGAAACTCAGCGTGCTCTTCACTCTCGTGTGCTCTGATTGTGTGTATTTCAGACACTTTGGTTAAGTGGTGTAGTGGAGCTTCTAACCTTATTATTTCTGGTCTGACAATACACACTGCATCAAAGCCTATTATGGCAATAGAGTACTTTGGTCTGTGCTTTTATTGGTTTCGGACAACAGATGGCATGTCATGGTCGACTCTGTGTTCAGTTTGGTAATATGCAGGTTTGACTGTTATGTGTACTAAATTCCAGCAGTACCAGTTTGGTTGGTGGGATGTGATCAATCGTGTGAAGTCTGGTGGGAGTAAATATTCTTCCACATCACGAGTAATGGCAATTCCTTTCAACGCTTTTAGCATTTTTTTAGACAGATTCATACGATTGCTTTTGAGTGTGCGCTTCCATGTCTGCTCTTAGCCCAGCTTTTCAAAGTCCAGGTCAACCTCTCCTGGTGGTTAGCTGTATGGTCACAGGAGGTAGCTAGTGTGAAGGGGGGTTGTAAAGACATGGTCTGGGGGTAGTAGTGGAGGAACTAGACATCAGGGGGAGAAAGGAGCAAATGACACACAAAAAAAATCATGGTAATTATAACAAACATACATGAATGCTACACACAGATGCAGGAGTACCTTACAACAAATTAAGTGTCTCAGATAGTCTAAATAAAAGGTTTCATCTGTTATCCATCTGTTGATGACAAGTTTTCTACGACGCTCACTGCAAAAAACAAAGTTAGCTATTTTTTTTTCCAAGTTTGGTCCAAGTGTATATGAGGCCAGCTATGTTAGGTTTACAATGATCATTATTAAATAAATCTGAGCAGGGTGACAGGCCTTTAAAGGAGCAGTGTGTAGGATTTAGTGGCATCTAATGGTGTGGACTGCAGATTGCAACCAGCTGAAACTTCTCCCATGTGCCAAGTATGACCTCCTGGTTAGGATTCCTTTAGTGTTCATTGTTTAAGAGGTTTTTACCAGTAGCCGAATTATCTGCAAAGGTCTTTCCCCCTCCAAAACAAACAGACTGGGTGATTAAAACTGGTAAAAACCACAAATAAAGCTGAATCTAGACATTCAGGAGGTTTTTATGGGAAGCCAAATTATCCACAGAGGTCTCTTTCTCTCCGAAATAAATGGGCCCGGTGATTTAAACTGGTAAAAACACTGATTTGAAGCATTTTCACATTAAAAATCTATGTTTTTATGACACTGTCTGGCTCTTGCAGAGGGGCTGCTAACTACAGTGGCTGATGCAAAAAGGCAAAAAGGCAAATGTCCCTATCTAGAGCCAGTGTGTATCTTTGTCCTTTCCAGGCTACTGTAGAAACATGGCAATGCAAGATTGCAATCGCCATAAACAACTCATTCTAAGGTGACGAAAACAAAAACGATTCTTATTTTCAGGTGATTATACACTAAAGAAAACATGATTATCATGTTATATTCCATTTCGGCCAATATATACCCCTGAATTCTACACACTGGACCTTTAAGTAAAGGTCTTGAGACTGTTTAACATACATGTGTTTACTGGAGCATGTGGGAAGGGCTGGAAAAAAACAATAAAATAAACCTAAAGAGGTGATGCTTCTCTCTTGGCCTGGAAATAAAGAACTTGACCCAGATTATCAGCTTATGTTCAAATTGCATCTTTACAAATAAACAATAATTAGTGGGAAAAAAAACAACCTTACAAGGATTGGGTATCAAAATTAGCTTTGAGGTTTACTGTAGCTTAACACTGGCATTTCACTTAATCCTACAGTAATGGCTTGTCCTGCACCTTGGGGCAAACAGACACTCCTAACAACACACACACACACACACACACACATAGGTTGATGAGGACCAAGAGAGAGCGAGGGGTCCCTACAGGGGTGGAAACAGAACCTTAGACATGACATATCAAGTTTGATGAGTCCTAAATTTGGTGTGATGGAGCTAAATTTAAAACTGAGCCACCACTTTTTTCTTCTTCTTCTTTTTTTAAATATTGACTAGGCATTTGTTTTTGTCAGTACACACTGCTGCGTCCCCTCCTGCAGGATGTAAACTGACCAAGGGGGTGAATGAAGCACGTGACAATGACATTTATTCCCAATTACTGCTTCTCATTCAAATTAAGAAGATTGAAGTGAAACATGAACAAGTTTTCTTGGTGTAGTGCAATGTGGATTTTTGAAATGTTGTAGATTAAGGCCTTATTAATTGATTTAGAAATGTTCAGGAAGTCTTGTAATGTCCATTCACCCTTAATCTGTTTTCATCCATTTTCTGCTGCATGTATTGTGGTACTGTATGAAACCACTTTACCTCTGTTACCAACAGTCTCCTCCACTCAGGATCACATGACACTTTGATTTGAGTGAAAATTGAAAGTGAGAGAAAGAGAAAAAAAATAATAAAGGGAGTTGATGAATTTGAGAAATAAATGTACTCTGAGAAAATCATATTCTGGACATTAAACTTTAAAGGTTTCTGTTATTTGGCAAACACATTTTTGGACCTCTTTAAATACTATGTACATTCACATTAAGTTACTGATGTTACTTTAAATATATTTATATGTATCTATATTATATGACACCCTATGGGCAGTTGCTGAGGTTCCATTCAGTAGCTGAATTCTCTTCATATTGCACCTCCGTCCTCTCACTGTCTTACAATGTGAGCAATACAAAATATTCTACAAGAGGGGTTTCATCTCATTAATATAGATACAACAAATCAAACAATAAGTACAATGTGGGGCTTCCTCTCATAAGTGAGTTTCCTCCTTGTTCTGACTTCACTGCTCAGCCCAAACTTAAAGGAGGAAAAATGAAAGGTAACGAAACCAAAAAACAAAGTCCGTCATTCTGGATATACACAAGGGCAGCACATGTGGACATCAGCGACAAGAGACATTATTGAAATTTGAAAAGAGGAACAATATCTACAAGCAGGTTCGAACCCTTCCCACGTGACTGCTCCGAGGCTCTGTCCAAAGCAGGCTGGGGTTAAGGGGCAGACTTGAGTCAAGTAGTCGGGGAAGAGCGCAGAAGGGAGGTGTGGGGTGAGGGGAGGTAGAAAGAGAGAGGAGATCCAAGTCTACACCGCCCTTTACTAGGCTCTTTCATCTGTTTATCATGCTTTGGAAAAGGAGGGAGTGAATGTAAAGGTAACAGCAATTCCTTGAAATATCTCCCCGTTGTGGAGCTTTAAAAAAAAAAAAACAACTTACAAACATTCTTCTCATACGTCTCCGTAGTATGCAATGCCTTCTCGGACAATGTTTTCAAGCTTGTTTTGAGGTTTTTGGCAGCTCCATTGCCATGTATGTTTCTTCATCTCCTTTGAGGCTGTGTACATTTTCCTTTCCTCCTGTTTTTTTCTCTCCGTCCCTCTCTGTTACCATTCACAAAAAAATCACACTGTGGCAGGGTTTCCATCCATTTCATGAAGTCTTTCTTGTAGGCAAGTTCACAGCATCGTCCATATTCACTAGTCTGGGCCATCACTGAGGAATCGCTGTCATTTTGTCCAGACTGCAGGAGGCAGCTGCAGATCAAAGCAGTTTTTTTTTTTAAATGTCTGGCTACCTCTGGGTCCCGTTCTGCAGCGTCCCTGCAGCCTGGTCCTCCCAGGGCTGGCTTATCTGCTGAGGAGGTGATGTTGCTTTGCGTTTGGTTATAAGATGAGTGCTTCTCCTTATCGCTTACTTACTCACTTTGGCAGTGTAATACAAAGGTTTGGATCATGTTATTTTTCATCTTTGAATTCATTTGGGTTCACAATGGTTCAGAGAGGTGAGTCCGGTGTAGATTTTCTTGGCTCGCTAGCAAGGTAGTTAGCAGTTTAAAATTAATTTATTTTCATATCATTATTATCATCATCATCAGCACTACTATTCTTTATTTAGAATATTTGGACTTTTCTTTATTTTCCCTTAAAGCCAGAAAGAAACATTTAATAAATACTAAGCTGTGTTTCTGAGGAATTTATCACATCACAGGTTTTTCCCCTTCCCTCATCCATTTGAAAAAAAGGTATTTTGTCCTTGCCTGTCTCCGGTAGGACACTGTAGAATAAGTGCCACATCAGTGAACTGTTTGCACTTGTAGTGCACATCTCAGGGCTGGGTACTGTTCTCTCATTGGTGCTAAATTAAAGGGAAATCCGATCCAAGTGCTAATCAGCCTAGTCATCCCCCCATCATTGTTGCCTTACCACAGCCCTTGTCTTGTGTCCTTCGGCGGACAGTATTTAACGTGCTTCCATTACTGAGGGCACATCTTAGTCACATCTTCAAGTCATGTTTTCAGCAAACACATCGGATATGTTTCTGTGACTGAGCACAGAGATAGGAGACACTTTCATGCTTTCCACTACACTGAACCCCAGGCTGGAATCTTTGTATTTGTGGCTGTGGTTGTGAAAGAGACAAAGACAGAAAAAGTATTTTTTGGGGGGGAAGGAAGGGAGGGTGACAAGTTCAGAAAAGCAGTCTAACATCAGGTAGTGAGAGGATTTTCAGGAGAGCTTAGGATAAGAGGGAAATAAGGACTAAAGTAGGGGAGGAGAAAAGGGAGCAATGTGCGATGAAGATTCCTCAGTTTGGTTTTGTGTGGAGTGTGGGCACCGTCGCATCAGTATGCAGGGAAGGGACAAGGGTCAGACGTCAGCGAGAGGTGGCATCCAGTAGGGCGGGGGTAGCTGGAGTCGTGGAGCGAGAGGCACTACTGGAACTGCTCTCCTTGGGGCTGGCAGAGACACTTCCGCTGCCGCTGCCGGCCCCTCCCGCAATACTGCTCTGGCCCGCCAAGGACAGGGCTCCTGGAGGAGTGCTCTCCGAGTGGGTGGGGGGCGCGCTGGAGGACGCTGAGGAGGTGGAGGAGGAGGACGGGGTGCCGAGAGGGACGCTGCTGCCCCCTGGCATCCCCTGCAGGCCTTGACCACAGACATGGTGGTGCTTCTCCCAGTCTTTGTGTTGACAGAAGGAGCCGCAGTAGCGAGCCGTGTTGCAGCCGCTGCACGTCTCACTGGCTTTCCTCCCGCAGTTCCAGCAGCTCTGGTGAGACAGTGGGGAGAGAGTGGGTTGATAGAAATAAGTCTCTTTTTTGTCCCAGGATAGCTCAGTTCTCTATTTTTTGCATTTACATATGCTGCAACCTACAATAAGTCATTTTATGACACAGTTTATCCATCTGATCCTCATCTTTTTTATTACTCTCTGCATGGGGATTTCATTTTAAGGCTTTAAGTCCTGGTCCAGCGCCACTGGTTTGTGTAACCAGCAGGTGGTGGTCAACTGCTCTGTAATGGCCTCAGCCTGGCACTCTGCTCCAACCATCTGGGTCTGTCTGCTTTTATTTACACAGACAACTAGACTGCTTCTGCAATAATGATGACAACATGGTGCAGCACCAAACCAAGAGCAGCCAGCTGTGTGGATTACACAACACAGGAAAAACTTGGAGGATGAGGGGGACAAAGTGAAGGGTAATGAATGGAGCAGAAGAGCGTTGAAGAGTGAGTGACAGAGGAAGGAATTAGAGAACAAGAGAGAGAGGGGGAATGAGGCGAAATGTAGGTGGGGGGTCTGTGGTACTCACTTCACTGGAGTCCTCCTGCTGGTTGATGACTGTTAGTGCGTCCTCAGAGGCCTGCCTCTTGGCCTCGGCCAGCGCCCTCTCCATTTTAGAGCGTTCGGCTGAAATCATCTCGTGAGCTTTCCTCTCGGCGTCTGACACCGCCTTCTGCAGCTCTGACATCGCCTGCCGCTTCACCTCATTCACTGCCTCCTCTGAGAGAGAGAGGAAGAGAGAGGTGTTAATGCTTGTGACCATCGTCCCATCCAGCCTGCTCTGTCATCCTTTATTGAGGCTCTTTAAGCTGCCATCTTGTCTGTATTTCAGTGAACAGATGTACATCATCCAAGATTTAAAACTTTCTGCCAGAAAAGGGAAACAGCCAGACTTCAATAATTAATTCAAACACGTCTGGCCACAATAATTTCCAGCACTGACAACAGCAGATGTCTCCAAAGTTTTGTCACTAACTTGGCTGTTCAAACAACATCCTGGGATTCCCCGTTTGCATGATTGTCATCTTGTCAGAATTATTCTAATAGAATTTGTTAGATGGAGTTTACAGAGAAGACTGAATAATTTCTCCACCAGTGGGCATTTATATCCCCACTGCAGGGCTTCGTACCATGTAGATTTTATCATGGGGCCTTTTGTTCTTCCAGCAGAAGCACAAACTGTATGAGTGAGGGGGCTGTGTTTTTACAACAGGCAGGTGTGTAGACTCCTTTCCAGATGGCAGTCTAAAATAGAAACTTCCCGCAGTCTCCACTCAGTAAGAGGCAGGAGTGATTACATTTTGCAATCTTTCATTATTGGCTTCACAGTTTACAACAAATGCACAATATCTATATCTTGTAGGGCTTCATACACCTGAGGAATAGGTCTCCAAATAAACACTATTTATTAATCGAATGCAAATGTGCTGTGTCGTGATTATAAGATGTGAATTCCTCTAAAATGTCATTTTCCTCTACTGTCAAACATTCTTAAAGATGAAATTATATTTCTCCCTCCTGCTCCACCTCCTCCAGATGTGCCAAGCAGACGCAGTAAGACACAAATGACAAGTGGCTCTCCAGGTGTATCAGGCCAACCAAGGAGGAGGTGAGGCTGATATGGTTCTCTCCCCTGCTCCCTGTTTCCCCCAGTCAGTGTTTGTTTGAAAGGAAACTCATAAATAACTGTCACTTTTCCTCGCCGCTCCACTCCACTTGTTCCAAACTACTGTGCAAAAAGATAGGCAGCGGGCAGGGGGGAGCCTTATCCAACACTGGTGCTGTGTATATGCACATGGCTGCGTGTGTGCATGTGTGCATGTCTGAGCTTTAATTCCTGTGCCCATATGCTAAAAAAGTTAGCATTCTGTCAATCCTGTCAACATACAGTCACACTCACACACATGTCTCAATGCTTTCCTTCAACCCATCATTCCCCCTCTACCTTTATCCTTCATTTCTATCCTTTTTTTTCTTCCTCTCATACCCCTCCTCCTCCTCTTTCTTCTCTCCTTTGCAAAACACTATCTGCATTATCCCGAGCTTCTCAATTATCTGGCCTAATGCATGCACCACTAAGATTAGTTTGCAAATTTAATTAATTCTTATCAAGGAGACTGCATAGCAGATGCTGGGGCAATTAGCACTTAATGGAAAACACGGGGACAGCAATATTAACGTTTTAATTCCACAGGGATTTGGCAAGTCCCTGAGACGTGTTATTTCTGTCTGCTTTTTCACACTTCAGATCTTATTTTTTCAAAAGCACTGCAGTCTCTCAACCTGAACCAGACCAGAGAATACGTGTCTGGTTTTAATTAAAAGCAAGAGGTGCTGCAGTTGCATCAGGCAGGAGTACCTGGCTGCTGAGACAGAGGTGACACATATACAAACACACACACTCACACTCACACTCACACACACACAAACACACACACACTTACACAGACATTAGAGGTGAGATGTTGGGAGTGAGATATGTTACTCACCCTGCCTGTTTTGGAGGTGCTTTAGTGCTGGGGAGAGCGGGATGCTTGTAGTACCTGTATGAAAAACAACTGCAATTAAAAGAGCTTTTTTCTGCTGGTGAAAATGCAGCACAGAATTTTGCCTACAGCAGCAGCGTCTTTCCTCCGCAGGGTATTGGACTATGACTGCAACATAATAGTGCTGGGACTGGGGCGGAACAAGGGCTGAGCCAGACGACTCCTGGGATAGGGTTTTATCTAACATGCAGTATACAAGAAGGCCCATGCAATGCAACACTCCCACCTGCTTCCCTTTGGCCACACACTGAGCCAAAAATAATAATAGCGGTCAAGATTGTTCTGTATAAATGTCTGTATTTGATATACTTTAGTGATAAGTTTGTGTACTGTGCATGAGGCCAGAGAACAATCACAATAAAAGAAGGTATAAAATCTTGGGAGTGTGTGTTTCTCAGTTACACTCCAACCTGTGCTGTGCTGCTGCGGCCTGCCTCTGGCCAGGTGACTGCATTTTCACTGCAGCTTTAACTGCAGTGGCCTTTCATAGTGGTGACAGATGGAGGGCATTTAGCCCTAATGACACAGAGGGCCTCCAATCCTCTGCCCTGATGGACCTACGGCTGTAAGGCCTCTGCTCTGTCTGTCTGTGTGGCCAGGGTGAGGGCCATGAAGACTGATGATGGTCACTGTGTGCGTGTGTGTGTCAATCATGAAGACAATAGAGAGAAGGGGAGGCTTGGCTCTTACCAGCTTTTCTCCAGATTTCTTCTGGCAGGTATCCTGAGGGAGGCCTGTGTAAGAAGTCTCGGTGGATCTCTGAAACACACAAGCAGGCACGCACTCAGTTACACACACGATGATTGACTCACGATCTGAACAAACACACATCCGCAAGTCTCTCCTTTAGTTTCCAATTCTATTTTTGGGACCAATACAAACCAGGTGTAAGGCAATCTCGAAACCCATCAGCTATTGGTCGGACAATGATAAGCCTCCCGGGACAAAGGACAATATTTCGGGAGATGTGGTGTAGCCAGTGGATATCTGCACATAAATCCATATAATTAAAAAGCTAATATAAAGCTGAATCATTGTCAGACGATAGCCGATGGGTTCTGAGACTGCATTTCAGCCAGTGTGTTCCACCTTTACACATAGACTGCTTACCTGCCACTCAAATGCGACTGGTCAGTAATACTCAGACTACAATTGGAAACCAGGACACTCCGATAACAAATGTCCCATTGCCTACAGATTCTGCATACATACACAGATATCTGTTCATAAGGATGTGTATGGCAACATCAGTAAATAAGCTGTTATCAAATTTGTAACCATTTCTAGGAAGGAATGGGAATACAGGAGTTAGAAGTGAGTACAAATTTTAATTATGAATGAGCATGCCGGCAGCATAAGGGTGCGATCAGCTGCAAGATCCTAGATTTTGCAGAAAAATAGGATACTCTAACTTTTTGTGTCTAAATTGATATATTTTTTGAGGCATTTTCAGCATTTCCAATAAGCCCTACCTTGCTGTGAGTGTTTTGCTTTGCCAAACAAACCCTGTGTGTGTTCGTCTACCTGTCTGTCTGCCTGTCTGCCTTTCAGCAGCCGAGGGAGTTCCTATGGGCAGTGACTCGCTGCTGCTAGCTGTGTTGGAGGAGGAGTTGTGGTGAGGAGTAGGAGGAGGAAGAGGAGGAGGAGGAGGAGGAAGGCAGTGCTGTCCGTTGCTCCCACCTTTTTTCATCTCCTCCACGTCGCTGTAGCGCCGAATCCAGTGATTCATCTCCTCCCGGTCGGCCTCCTGGCAGCGGCGCAGCACCGTCAGAGAGCGGCGCGTCTTCTCCACCATGTCCATGATGCAGTTCAGGAGCTACAGTGGGACAGGATTGAGGATGAGTTAAAACATTTACTGAATAAAAGGAGACATTTGACAGTGCTTCATTTAGTTAAACTTCATCACCTACACAACATAGCAGTACCAAATAAATCCACAAACAGCTCCACAGGTCATAGCAACAAAGCTAATTTAAAGGAATGAGTTACTTATGGAACCACTGAGCTGTAAATCTAGACACTATTTTAATCTGTCCCACAACACATACCACCTAGCAGACGTGCGTGTTTGCATGTGATTTCTGTCTCTGCCTATCTGTTCATGGATTGTGTGCTTGTCAGTGAATTTCAGTGTCTAAGAGCATTACAACAACGATAATGTAACAGCTGGACTGCTGATGAAAAAGTTGAGCCAATTCCTTCCACCCTTCTGCTCCGTTCCCTGCCAACTCAACAGATTTCCTCTCTTTTCTCTCCTTCCCCCCCTCAACTGTAAACAGTGTCACTTTTTTTCCACGTTGCCCTCTGTTTCCAGACCCGGCTCGGTCTGCTAAATGGGTTTAGCATGGCTGACATTCAATCCATATCATTATTCCCATTCATCTTTCCCTCTCTCTGTGTGTCTGCCTCCTTTCCTCTGTCTCTCCACTCCCTCCCTCCCCTCTGAGTTAGCTATATTTATTTCAGTGAAGTGTTTCTAATTTGGCTGGGGTCCAGGCCTGGCCGGTTCTCTCCATGACTGCAGCTCTTGTCTCAGCTGCTCTCCCCAGCTGGAGCTGCGCTCTGCTGGGTCCTGAGCTCCATCTGGGGCCCTGTTTCTGTGTGTGCGTGTGTGCGTGCATGTGTGTGAGTGTGTGTGTGTCTAGTGAACATGATTTTGTCTTCATGGAGCTGGGTGCCAGGAAGCCAGAAAGGTGTCTGTCTGTTGTTAATTCACCACACTGACACAGACCTCCTATGGTCAGCTGTCTGTCAACCGCACACTCAGATGGGACGGAGGTTGTCTGTCAACAGTTCCTGTCCTGCTAAAATTAACTTAAATCACCTGCTGACCTCTTAGCTCTTTTTTAAAGCCCTGCTTCATGATGTTTATGATTGAAAAGGTGACTGACATTAAATATGGCTCCCATGCTGATACGTACATTATCTAGGTGCTTCCATTCCTCTGCCCACTCTCGATCTGTAAGACGATGGTCGATCACCTCCTCTTGGCGGGCACCGTGCACTGCTAAAAGACAAATACATGGGTCAAACTCACATATATAAAACTGTGTAACAGTCTTGAAGCTGCAAAATGCTCTACAAGTCCAGAGTGGATGCTTAAAGGAACTGTGTAAGATTTAGGGCAAGTTAGTGGCATCTTGTAGTGAGGAATGCAGATTACAAAACTTCTTATATTTAGAATTCAGCAATTCAGTGGTCATTGCTACAGAGGATTTTAAAGGGAGCCGAATTATCTGCAGAGGTCTCCTCCTCTCCAAACAAACAGACCAGGAGATTTAAACCAGTAAAAACACTAAATAAAGCAATTTCATGTTACAAATCAGCATTGTTTGGCACATCGCAGAAAGGCCGCTAGCCCAGCACCTGCTAATGTGTGCTCACCTCGATTCTCTGCTAACTTAATGTGTGTTCAGCTTATTTCTGATCCAAACTGTGAGCCAAATTATCTGCTTGTCTCTTCCTCTCCAAAAACAACAGACACAGTGATTTAAACCAGTAAAACACACAGAATAAAGTCACTGAGAGGTTGCTACTACGGTCGCTGATGCAAGACATGAATGGCCCTATCTTGAGCTAGTGTTTGGTTTGTCCGTTCTGGTCTACTGTAGAAACATGGCGGTGAAACATGGCAATCTCCCTGGACAAGGACCCGCTCCCTATGTTAATATAAATGGCTCATTTTATGGTGACAAAAACACAACAATTCTTATTATCAGATGATGAGCTGAAATTAATTAACTCACTGAACATTAGTTACTGTGCTTGTGGATGTCAATTTTATTTATATCTGTTTTACTGTCTCCTATTTTATTACTATAATGATTAACTTAGATATTAAAGTTCAATTTTAAACAAAATAACTGGTGTCTTTAGCACTTGTGTGCCTGTGCTGGAGCCTCGTGTCTAATGAGTGAGACAATTTGGCCAAGAATTCACCTCTTTCCTTTTGGGAAAGCAGAAGGAAGGCATATATGGTTGCCACAGTTGGAGCATATAGGCATGTATGGATGTGGTCTTTATATAGCCACACTGCCACAAGGATTATCACACTGGACATGACAACTGGCCTTTGTTCTCTGCATACACCCCACTTACATACACACCAGCCCACAGTCTTGACCATATCACTGGGGATCTATAGATGTATCTGACCCCTGTGGATGCAGCTGTCCTACCTGTCTGCCGGTGTCTGTCCCGGGCTTCGCGGTGTTCATTATGTCTGTAAGCGTCTCTGTATTGGTGTGCCAGGGCCATGTCTTCTAAGCGATAGTGTTGGGGTCCCACTTGGGGGTTTGGTGGGTGGGGTAGGCCGTTGGGAGGGTGTGTGGGGAGGCCATTGGGAGGCGGGTGAGCAGGAAGACCCGTGCTGGGGCTGAAGCGTTGACTGGGGCTGATGGTGCAGGGCCTTTTAGCCAGGTGCTCCGGGTGCAACCCATCTCTGTCCGAGCTGTCTTTGGTCCTGTAGAGGAGGGCGGGAGAGTGGGTTAAAACATGATTTTAAAGTATATGTAATGGCTTGCCATGATGTCATTTAATTTAGCGTAGGAGCGTACAACTTTTATATTCTTTAAAGACAATTAGGTCAAGCAGTGGGTCAGCACCACACAGTTAGCAGAATACAGCAATGTTGTGGTCAAGACCACATAAACCAAGACCACGTCATGACCAAAACTAGAGAGATGCTAAGGAGCTGACATCAACTTAACCATCTTTATTCATTGCCCTTTTTTGTGCAAGCAATTTAATGATATCCCTGCAGTTGTGGTCTTGAAATGAAATGCAGAGTCCTCTTTGTCTTTGACCAAGACAGGACCGAAGCCTCCAAAAAGTGGTCTTGAGACCAAGACTGATATCAAGCTCTACAACACTTGAAAACAGTATCAAAGCATAGATCCCAAGTAAACTGCTGTGTTAACAAAGAAATGAAAGGATAGAAGTTCAACTGTTGGGACACAGAGCCTGCAGCATTTTTCCAGCAGTGGGATGTGTGGTATATTATAGTATACAACAAAAAACATCTTTGTTGTACAGTTGAGTCTTTATCTGCCAGTATGCCATACCCTTGCACAGCCAGTCTGCATCTCTAAAGCTCTGTTTCCACTACCACATTTACCATTATTCCACAAATGTCCACCCAAAAATCGATTCAGCTGCTCCAGATAAATGATGAACCACTCAGAAACTGTTTTGATGCTCACATGACTACCCTCATTTACAAAAAAAAATCTCCCACAACATGGATCATTTCTCAGCTCAGTTTTACTCAGAAACAGATTTTTGACACCACGTTAATGTCTGAAGGGAGAGAAATAACTTTTCTGCGGCCAACTTCATTTTTCTCCAGTTAGTCCATCAGTGGCCTTGCCAGACCACAATGAGTAATGCAAAAACTGTGGGCTGGCTTTGCCAGGCTAAGTATGCAATGCCAGTGTATTACTTCATAGTGTAGGAAAACATGCCCCAGCAAAGACCAGTATGGCCTAAGAATCAGATCAAGGGGTTAAAAAAACTGCCCGCTGTAAAAACATGCCAAACAAATCAACAGATGTGATTTACTTCATGATGCCTGATTGGTTTTGTCTGTGTCTACCATAAACTGTCATTATAATTTATTTTCAAAGATTACATTGTGAACCATACAAGCCTCTAGCAAAGAACACAAACTTGTTTTGTGAATTTCAACAACACATGGCGCATGCAAACACACACTCACACACATGTATCCCTGCTGAGAGCTGCTTGTTGTTCAGTTACAGTAAGGCAGTTCTCCACCAAAGCTTTTGCACAGCTGTACGCCATATGTATCAAACAAAGCCAAGTCCAACTGTACACCCTGCGTCTCAAGCGCTTAATCTGAATATATCCCTCTGCCGACTCTTAGATTGCAAGTATTTCTCCCTCTCCCTCCCACCCTGCTCTTGGGCTTAAGGGGCAATATGGGCTGAATGCTGTGTGTTTGGCAGATGTTTAGTGACACTCATTTGTGTCTGTGTACTTTAAGTGAGTGTGTGTATGTGTGTGTGAGAGAGAGGTTGTATTTTCAAGCCATCTGGACAGTTTAAATGGGAGTGTTGATATTAATCTGTTTAGCTGGATGGCAATAGCCAGGCATTCGGATGCAAATCACTCTTTATCATGCCGGGGATCAAAGGCGAATAAATGCAGTGCTGCCCCATGTAGATGAGTGTGTTTATGTGTGTGTGTGTGTGTGTGTGTTTGGTTATTCATGTGTATATTTGTGTACGTCGGCTATACTCGTACACATCCCTGGCTCCAGTATCTGACAACACAGAGGAACAGCTGGCGCGAAGTAGGCCCTGCCCCAGCCTGAACCACCCTCCCCCTCCTCCGCCGAGCCCCTCCCGCTGTGTATAAGCCACAGGTCAGGAGGCGGAGGTGTGCGGATTACAGTGGGATTGCACATTCAGCTCCAACCCTCAGTCCCATCCAAACCACCACCTCCCACCTCCCCACACCCTGCTCAGGATGTGCTCAGTGTTACGGTCAGCACATCACCATCTGGACACATCCCTGACATATGGACAGCTGCTGGGAGCCCGCAGGTCAGGCAGTTGGAGAGAGCAAGAGAGAAACAGAGAGCAGGAGAGGTGAAGAAGTGATCAGAAAAGAAGGACAGTGCCAGTAAGAGAAGAAAAAGAAAAGGGAGGAAAGGGAAATGCCAGCTAATTCTGTCTTGTGTCATCTTCTTAGCTGGGTGAACAAAGCAGAGTGCTGGGGAGAAATGTGGGACAACTGCAAACCGTTGCCCACTGTTGGTCTTTCTGTCTGTCTTTGGGTTGTGCTGAGGACATTTACTGTACTTCACCCCCGCTTCTCTCTCTCTTTTGCTTCTCAGATGCTCTCTTTCTTTTCCTACAGTGCATTTATCTCACCCCTCCCTCCCAGACAGCTGGCAGAGCCAGCCTGGCATCAGGGCTGTCCAGACTTCCGCCTCCCGCACAGAGGATTTATAGCCTCCCCTTGTCACTTGGCATTCTGAAATACCCTGAAATAATTCATATATAACAGCGTGTGTGTGAGAGTCTGCCAATAAATGTGCGTCTCTGAAGTCTGCATGTATATGTTTTCTTGTGTTTAATGGAGATATGCTACCTGTCAGGGGTCCTTCTTTTGCCGTGCTCATTCATCTCCAGCATGATCTCGGAGGAGTCGAGGGGCGAGCTGGCATTAGCGTCCAGGAGAAGCTGCTCGTGTTGGGCCAGATACTGAGCTGGAGTCTGCTTGGCCAACCTGGCACAGTGAAGCAACTCTCTCTGCAGCAGGGGCAGGTTTGCCTTCAGTGGTAAAGAGAGGGGAGACAGACATCTCTGGATTAGGAATGAAACACGTTGTTGTAGGAAGGATATAGATTTATTGAGCCGATGTAAATGTAGAGTGTTAAGTGGACAAGAGGTGAGCTAGAAACTCATGGTGGAACAATAGATAGATGGGGTGAGAGTAAAATAATGCCAGATTAGGGATGGAGAAAAAAAGAAAGTGATAGATGAAGAGACAGGATGAGATAAGACAGGTCCCTTGACACCTTCCTCTGCCATGTGTCTCTCTCTCGCTCTCTCCAGGGTGTGCTGATGTGTAGAGCTATTGTGTGTGTGTATGTGTGCGTGTCAGTGCTGTCAAATAGCTCTCTCAGACCTGTCCGGTTGATATAATGCAGCCATTGCTGCAATGTCCCAGATGTGGAGGATCATTGCACGCCAGGAGGTCTGACACATTCACACACAACACTTTTAACACACTTTAAAAAATGGACACTCATTCTTAAACACTGTATACACCCACAGATTTCAAGTTTTCCCTTCCCGGACCCTTTCTGTTTGGAGGCAGAAGAGGGAGGAGCACAGAGGAAAGGTGCACATATAGTGTCTCCACACACACACATACACACAGTCCTGAACACTGGCCATATGGACAGTAGCAGTAAACTCTGAGTGTCAGTTTTAGACATTGGCCCTGATTTATCTCACATTAAATCTGTGCACAAGCATTTACCTTCAGGAAGGGAATAACAAACGGCCTCAGAGGGAAGTTGGTGGCCTCATGAAGTTTGGAGTGAAACTCTTCGATGGTGAGAGTGGAGTTCTGCCCGGGACAACAGGGAAAGTTAGACAAAGAGTGGAATCAGGAGACAAACTTTTATAACACCCTCAAACGGAGCTGCATAAGTCCCACATGATGATATTTTTTTATTCTGTTTACACAAGATCCACATCCTATGCAAACACAATAATATTTAGTGTGTGCAAGTCATTATCTTTTGTACACAAGATAAAAAATACCAGCTTTTGGAACTTCATAGGTGCCCGATGTTAAGTACTAAGCATAAATGTACAGTAGGCTAGACAAAAACTAAGAGGAAAAAGAGCTGCTGAATTAATTAATAAATAAATAGATGCAGTACAGTTGTTGAAAGAATTCATCAAAATAATCCCACTTAAAAATAATCACAACTTACCACCAGCCCCAGCACAAGGCTGCGCACCCTCTCCCCAATCTCAGGCGATATGTCGTTGCCAAACTGCTGCAGTGTGGTCAGGAAGCGCTTCAGCTTGCAAAGCTGCCGGGCACCGCAAGCCGGCGGGAGCTGCTGGTTGGAAAGCGAGGCCGTCGACGACATGGCCGGCCCATTACTGAAGCCGTTAGGAGTGGAGGGAGCACCGTTCAGCGATGTAGGAGAGTGGCTGCTCCCATTCAGCACTGCAGATAAACAGACAGCAGGAAGAGACAACATGAACTGGGTCAGTAGTTTTGAAAAGGCCTGGGGGGCATCTGACAGATCTGGGGGCGTGATGAGGGCAGACGCGCTCGCATCCCGCTGATAGAGAAGTGTGTGGTAAAGATTAAATGTAAGTAAAGCGCACAATAGACTTAAATTCGACACCATGCCTGTGGTATATGATGCACATGGTGACTTCAGAGGTGCAAGTTTGATTGAGCGCAGTGAGTGTGGGTTTCTGTGTGTGTGTTTGCGGTAACTTCAGCTGTCTCACAAGTGGTACCAGTTGACCCACACCCCCACACCCCCCTCCCCCTCCATCTCCCCCTGTATCAGTCTATTCCACCCTGCTCCTCACCCTCTCCCCCTAACTCACTCACTAGGACACAACTATAAGAGGAACTTGTTAAAGAGGTGCCAAAAATAGTCCTGTGGCCTGTGTTACTTTTATTCCAATAGCAGGTGTGTAGCTAAATCTGGTCCTACACATGTCCACCAGCTGAAAGTAGATTTGCAGCTTTAAGGTTCAGAATAGACTCAGCGTTCACACACATATATAATCAGTCACATATTCTTTGTTATTCCGGCACAAACAAACTCACAAATAGCTCACAAACACACGCTTGACCTTTACCCTGCTTTCATATTTTCATATCCGGGCCAAATGAAAACGCATGCAGAGTACAAGACGTGATTTACATATCAAAAAAGGTTCTGTTTTTCCATCTCCTGTCTGTTGTCTGTATGTCATATTCTTTAACATACATTTGTGTGCATTACATCTATTTAAAGAACTAATGATGTCAAAACAGAAAAAGCTTTCTCCCAGATTAAAGAAATCATGTATGTACCTGTAATTTAAAGATTGTATTTCATTATAGCAGCATATGCAAGCACTTACACTGAGCCCAGCATCCAAACTATAATTTTAAAACCACTGAAACAACTTAATCTTTTCAAAATGTATTTACAGGACTCCGCAGTGAGCCATTGTGGGCTGTAACACTACACCTTGCACTCATACTTGAAAACAAGACTATGTACAGTTTAGTTGTTCAATAATATAGCTCCTGCGTGGTTCCCCTCAGGCGCGCTTGAGAGTCGTGTGGGATCGAGGGCCTGAACACATATGGACTAACCCATGTGATCCCGACAGGCAGCACTTGTGTTCTGGTTTTAGAGCGAGGGAGAGGTGCAAGGAGAGAGCTCCACTGCTGACCGCCCGCCACAACAGGTGAAACAACATGGCCTGTCATTGCTATATAGGGAAGAAAGTAGTCTACACACCGCAATGGCAGCCTGGCCATCGCCGCCTCAACCAGCTGGTAAACAACACATACACACACACATGCACACACAATGCCACAGCCGCACTCGCACATGCGCTCAAAGACACTTGTCCCACTAGCAAGGGCATTCTGCACACCGAGAGACACACACTTACACAGAGAGATGCTTGCAGAGACACACACCTGACACGCAAGTGACTCCAACACTTGTTCAGCAGAACAGGGAAGAGACACATATTTGGAATTTCTCTCGCTTTGCACAAGCATATAAAGTGTCCGTGACAGTTGACGACCATGTAGTCCACTGTATGACATGCAGTTGTAGTGTAGTGTAGTCATTTGGGTAATTTATTACAGATTGGTGCGTGGATCACTTTATCTTAACATGTAGCAGGTCTCAGTAACACACTGAAACATAGTCAATGAAATGCTGCTGTAACAAGAGTTATATGTAAACTAGACTTAAACTTTCGGAGCAAATTTAAAACAGGTTTCAGAGTTTTTAGGGGCAGTAGTTGGGAACTGACAGGAAACAAAGGGAGAGAGAGACAAGGAACTAAATGCAACAGAGGTCCCGGTTAACCTCTAGGCCACAGGTTACCCCATTTTAGTGCAGTTTTAACCTGGATGCCAAACTTGCATTTGACAAAATCTATACTTAGATATGCATACCAGCTCTGTAGAGAAGCATAATTTGCAATTACCAGCTCACATAACGATGGCTACCTTCTCCAGTGCTCACTGTGAAATGAAGAGTAAGAGCCAGCTCAGCACGCCTACCAGCTCACTGTTTTTCTCACACCTGCCTGGTTAACTGCTTGCTGACATGATGCTTCAGCACAAAAGGATCATCTTCAAGTCAAAGAAAACAGCTGTATGACTATTGATGGCAGACACACATCTTGCACTTGAAGTGAACTTCAGGTGTAACTGATCTTAGAAAATAGTAAAAAAAAACAAAAAAACAAAGTACTTACTTGATTTACTGGTAGCGGGGGTGAATGAAGCATTGCGATTGGTTGCTTGGCTGACCGCCGGGGGTGGAGGAGGCATGGTGGGTGGGGTGGACCTGGGCTGGGTTTTCACATCCGCAGGTGAATCTGGCATTGTTCCAACCTTCTGCACTCTGCTACCTGCGATATCATAGGGAAAAAACAACACAGTCATCAAGATGGAGCTCCAGCATGAAGAAAAAAATTTAACGTTTGATTAAAATTGGAAACAGCACTGGAAAACACCCAAATCTGCAGAATTACGAGAATGGACAAACACAAGGGCGTAAGTTTCATTTGAACATTGTGGAGGACACTGGGTTAGAGGTTCTCCACCAAATTTTCAATGGCAAATGGACCGCACGTGTATACCGCCATTCTAGTCTTCTGACCACTCAAAGCGTTTTTACACTACCGAGTCACATTCACCCATTCACACTAGTGGCTGAGGCTACTATACAGGGTGCCATCTGCTACTCAGTAATCATTCACACATTCTCACAACTTGGGATTCAGTATCTTGCCCAAGGATACTTCGACACGCGGACTGGAGGAGCCAGGATCGAACCACCGATCCTCAGATTAGTGGACGACCCGCTCTACCTCCACCTTAAAGTCCTCTACTACATTTATGTTTATTATATTTACCGCTCATGTTCTAAACATTGATCCTGCGTCTCGCCCCCCCAAATCTACTGCCATGGACAAACACCATGATAAAAACAGCTTTATATGAGTTTATGCTTAACAGGATGAGTAACAGAAACAGGAGTAAGGAATCAGTTTGGGATCTTTTTTGCCTGTAGTATGAAGTGTGTGTCCCAGTCATAACTAATACTGTATAAATATGTTGTGTAGATATTTTTCGTAGTCTTGCTTAATCAGTATGTTCCTATATTTTTGTTTGTTTCTTATGCCACTGATGTTACATTTATTGTAAGCAAGAAGAAATGTCTGTGAAACATTGTATGGTTTTGAACGAAAGATTAAAGCAATATAAATTTGACTTATCAAAAAATAAAAGTGGAGACAGCTGGTTAAGGTGGAAACCACCGACATTTTCACCTGGGAACCATCGATTGTTTCCTTAAACCAAAAGCCCTATAAAAAGAACCAAAACAAATCAATGCAGGGAGTGGAAATGAATTCAAACTTGTATTGTGTCTCTCTTGTTGGAGATTCATGGGCCTGGGAGACATACAGTAACACCTGCTCACTCGCTCAGCTGCTGCTGACTGAGAGCCCCCCCCCCCCCCTCTTCCCTCTCTCTCTCTCTTTCCCCTTCACACATACACACTCCTTGTAGCTCTGACATCCCAATCAGTGCCCCTCCACTGTAACCTCCAACCCCCAGACACACACACACACACACACACACACACACACAAACATTCACATGCACACAGTCCTCCCCGCCTGTCCCCTCTCGTCCCCTAGTTCAGACAGCCGGCTTGACAGCCAGTGACAAGTGCAGCTGGATCTGCTGCTGTCCATCACCGTGTGGACTGGCTTTCAGCAGCACTCCGTCCTGCTACCAGAAGCCTCACTGTCCTCTGCCAGACACCCTGCCAGCACCAAACAAGGCAAGGCCAGGCTGTGTAGCGTGAAGGGAATGGATGGTACAGCAAGGGACATGAGAAGAAAACATGACACGGGGTGGATGTGTGTCAGGACTGTTGCCTTACATTCTGCATTTGTGACCTCGTGCAGTCTATACATACAGTGCGCCTTCAACACAAACATAGTTATGCACAAATGTAGTTGATGAGGTGGGTATACCACGAGGTAGATATGTTGGTTATCAAGGAGAATGTGGGTATACTCTCCAATGTATTCCAATGACTTTTTGGATGATAGGTGGTTATGCTGTGAACAGCCAGAAAAATAGGTGGGTATAACCTGTACACCTGCGTATAAGCTCCACTACACCACCATACACAAGTCACACTATATATACAAGCAGCAGGTCTGTTATTTAGTGATGTACCTCTGGAGTGTCTTTCTGTCTATGTGTCCGTCTGTCAGTGCAGCTGCTGGAACCAAATCTATCTGCGATGTAAACCTGAGCTGAGAGGTGTGATGAGTTCTGCAGCCTGTGCGAAGATAGCTTTAGAGTATGTGTACATGTGTGCGACTGGCAGAGGGTGCAATAAATGTGCGCCGCGCAATGAAAAACAATGAAATCAATACGCAGCACAGTTTATATATTAGTACATAAACGTGTGTACTTGGGCACTGGCGCTAAACACCACCATTAAGCGGAGTAAACACATGCATTCATAATGAAAGAGTAAGGACAGAGGGCCATCTTCTGTGCTCTAGCAAAGCAAATGTAAACCACATTGTAGACTTTATGTGGCATTCATTGATTCTTGACAGCTCTCTTCTCTCTGTTTTTCTTTCCGTCTCTTTCAGCTGTCTCTTAATGTATTACAGGAGGGAGAAATTAACTGTTCTCTCAAATGTGGAACACAAACACAAGCTGACGAGAAGCCTGATTTTACATTTTACATCTTCGTGCGCACAGAGTGGCCCTGTTGTGAGACTAGGCTTCTGCAAATGACGGGAAAAAGGTTATTAGGCAGTTATCACACCTTATTGGTAGTAGTAGTCACCTAGTAGTAGTGTCACCAACTGACATATTAAGTGATTCTCACATAATGTGTTTTTCATTTTGCCCCTCGTGAGCCAACTTTGAACCCAGTGTTTTCCTCCACAAAACCCCTGCCTCAGTTGGTCTCAGTCCTTGGTGTTAACCTATTTCTGAGAGCTCATGTAGACGCGTTCAACAGCTGGTGTCTGTATTTAAAGAGTGCCACTCTGGAGTGTGCTGTACGAGGGCCATTGACACAGTGATCCTCAAGAACACGAGGGGCACTCCGCTGTTTTCCCCCATGCCAGACGCACTGAACATAAACACACAAGGTTGTAGATGGAGGCAGATGGGGAGGGCTGGTATAAATAGATGCAGCCATTCTCTTCTAAAGAACCCTAAACACACAAACAGGCTCTCTGTGCTGCCGAATTGGTTGGCTGCTTCCTGTAGGGAGGCAGCCATATGTTTCAGTAAACCTCCTCTTTCATCAAATTTACTGTGCCACTGTATATGCATATTGTAGGACTTACATGTGGTGGGCTATACATCTTTACGAGAAACGTGCATTATAATAACCAATCATACCCACATTGACGAGTCTGAAGAATGAACAAGAGCAGGGCGCACGTGTGATCAAAAGATCAGGATGGCCATAAAAATCCCTGTTTACATCACAGCTATTTTCGTCACTTCTTCGAGAGGAGCGGAGGATAAGGGGACCGTCCTGTCTGTCTGTCTGCTCCCACCGTGGGATTATAGACAGCTGTTTAATCTGACCAGCCACAGGGACAGGGCACACACATACGCACCATGCTCTGGATTTCACTTTTAATACATTAGGAAGTCTGCTAGGTCTACAACCCCATCTGTGGCCATCTGTGCTCCCATTGTGCTTTGTGCTGAAGGACGAAACACTCAAACTGAGAGAAGGAGATAGCGGGAGCGAGAGTTGAGAGCTGAAAGCCCAGTACGTCTTATACAGACACTCAAGGATGCCTTGTGCGTAAGAATCAGACGCCGAAGGCCACTGGCCAAAGCTACTTGACGCCCTGGGAATGAGAGAGGGCTACCAGGTAAAACAGACCTGTGGTTAAAGGTTCGGATCTGGACTGGACCCATGCTCCTGTCTGCAAGCTGCTCTATTCCCCCCCTGCAGCTTTTTTTATCTATCTCTCTGAGAGGGGCCACTTTGGGATCGATACAGCTGAGAATAGATCTGCTCAGGATACAGATTCATTGCTGTTTGTCCCAAACACTCACCACTGAATTTTAGGCTGAAAATAAAACAATACAGTCATTACCTACCTCTCTGCCGCCCTGTCTGTGTTTTTCTCTGTTTCTCCAACTCTCTGAACAGCTGTATGTCTGCACGTTTGACGTAATCGGGGCTAAAAGATTGCTCACCAAAGAAACAGTCTGTAGCCTGAGTTCTAAAAATGTTCTCTGTCTTCTACTCTTCCCCTGTGCCATGATGAAACAAGATGAAAAACAAAAAAGAGACACACAAAACCACCGATCATGTACTGTACGACTGCGCACACACACAGCGGAGTGGTTTGTCTAACTTTCTCAAACCATTTTTGGGGTATCATTATAGATTTAAGAACACATGCCTTCATTAAACCCCTTCAAAACAAACACAGATACACATTTACAAATGAGTACCATCATGTCATGACAAGCCATTTGGTCTCATTTCACATTGGCATATGTCCCATTGTTGACTGTATGCATCTGTGTGCGTGTGTGTGTGTGTGTGTGTGTGAGTGTATATGTGCATGTGTGTTCGTGCTTCCACTGGAAATACAGCTGCAACTTATTAGCTTTAGCTAACCGCTGCACAACAGTCCCCTTAAATCCCTCCTGTCTCTTCAATCTCTCGTACTCCGCAGAGACTCTCGCCAGTGACCACATAGCCCTAAAACTCACCCTCTGTCTCTCGCTCCTTACATCCCTCTCTCCCTCCCTCCCACTGTAATTCCCCATGTCTCCAGGAATGCTGTTGTTTTTAATTTCTCCCAGCTGCTCTGGCTGGCTGCCCGGCCGCCTGCCTTCCCACATCTGTTCCCTATCAGGCCGCTGAGGAGTCCACACAAACAGAGCCTGAGCCCCTGGCCCCCAGCCTCCCACTAGGCCTTCGTATCAAAACATGGGGATTGTAGCCCTGTGCCCTGGACCTAAGACTCGGGGATACAGCACCTTCAGCACCCTCCACTCTCATTCTAGCAGCCCAGATGCCATTCAAAAGGAAAAGACTGCTGACATCAATAACACACAACCGATACATCCTCCTCCTCTGAGTAGGAAAAAAATCTACATACGGAACATATTTTCTTTTTGATAAATCTATATTTTAATATATGCCTTGCTATCAGTGTGAAGTCTGAACTGTGTCGCAGGTAAGATAGGAGTGTGTGTGCATGTTTGTGTGTGTGATTTTTTGCGTGTCAGCACACAGGCTGCTTCTGCAGACAGATCCCAGACTCCACTTCATCTTGAGCTGATTTAGAGTTCAGGGGCTTTAAAGCCCTCACTAATGACAGGG